GTCTAAAAATAGTTTGGTCTAACACAGGGGTCGGCAAGCTTTTAACTGTGGTGTGCCGAGCCACTCTACCAATATGATTCAGGGTGCCGCCTGAATTCTGAAATATATAACCAGGTTCTGGGGCAGAAGAATTATAACCAAATTTATCTTTTAAACATTTTTATTAACTAGTGGGGTGCATGGCATCGTGCCTTAATTCAAATTGCTAGAACTTCCCATACTGAAATTAAAAATCTTGGTACTGAACCCAAAAAAAAATTACACAAAATATGTACACAGTATTAAAATCTCTATAAAATATCTGATAATTTGATGTACATAAGTCCAATGGATGTAAAATTACTACAATGTTTGTAAACAATACTACAATGGGTGTAAAATTACTACAATGTTTGTAAACAATATTACAATGGGTGTAAAATTACTACAATGTTTGTAAAAATACTACAATGGGTGTAAAATTACTACAATGTTTGTAAACAATACTACAATATGGGTGTAAAATTACTACAATGTTTGTAAAAATACTACAATGGGTATAAAATTACTACAATATTTGTAAACAATACTTCAATGGGTGTAAAATTACTACAATGTTTGTAAAAATACTACAATGGGTGTAAAATTACTACAATGTTTGTAAACAATACTACAATGGGTGTAAAATTATTACAATGTTCGTAAAAATACTACAATGGGTGTAAAATTACTACAATGTTTGTAGACAATACTACAATGGGTGTAAAATTATTACAATGTTTGCAAAAATACTACAATGAGAGTAAAATTACTACAATGTTTGTAAACAATACTACAATGGGTGTAAAATTACTACAATGGGTGTAAAAATACTACAATGGGTGTAAAATTACTACAATGTTTGCAAAAATACTACAATGGGTGTAAAATTACTACAATGGGTGTAAAATTACTACAATGTTTTACAATGTTTGTAAACAATACTACAATGGGTGTAAAATTACTACAATGTTTGCAAAAATACTACAATGGGAGTAAAATTACTACAATGTTTGTAAACAATACTGCAATGGGTGTAAAAATACTACAATGGGAGTAAAATTACTACAATGTTTGTAAACAATACTACAATGGGAGTAAAATTACTACAATGTTTGTAAACAATACTACAATGGGTGTAAAATTACTACAATGGGTGTAAAATTACTACAATGTTTGTAAACAATACTACAATGGGTGTAAAATTACTACAATGTTTGCAAAAATACTACAATGGGAGTAAAATTACTACAATGTTTGTAAACAATACTACAATGGGTGTAAAAATACTACAATGGGAGTAAAATTACTACAATGTTTGTAAACAATACTACAATGGGTGTAAAATTACTACAATGGGTGTAAAATTACTACAATGGGTGTAAAATTACTACAATGTTTGCAAAAATACTACAATGGGTGTAAAATTACTACAATGGGTGTAAAATTACTACAATGTTTTACAATGTTTGTAAACAATACTACAATGGGTGTAAAATTACTACAATGTTTGCAAAAATACTACAATGGGAGTAAAATTACTACAATGGGTGTAAAATTACTACAATATTTGTAAACAATACTACAATGGGTGTAAAAATACTACAATGGGTGTAAAATTGATATGTGGAACCAAAAGGTGAAAGGATAATGCATGCAATTTTCTTTAAACAATTAAATATTTCCGACAATGTCATCCAACAATTTAATTTTCCATAGAGTCGTCTTCCTGATTTTTTCGTAATTCCTTAAATTTTGTTTTCCATAATTCTAAAGATATTAGTTCCATAATTTCCATTTCAAAATCATCAACATTCATCCACTCAAAAATTGAAAAATCAAACGGTATTATTGATGGATCTATGAAATTTGGTTTTATGAGGAAGGAAAATTTAGGCACATAAGCTTTAAAGTCTTTGCATCTGGAAAATTCATCTTTAAGTGCTTCAATGTAGATTGAATTACATTAGCGAGCTACATTAGATAAGTAATTATATTTCAACATTTTTTCTTATTTAAAAATCACTTTGTCTCGATATATTTGCGATTGCCCTGATTATTTTGTAGAGTGCCATGCAGAACGCCGTCGCGTGCCAAGCCTGGCACGCGTGCCGTAGGTTGCCGATGCCTGGTCTAACACACATTCTGCTGTAGAAGTTCAGTTCAGTTGTGGCGGTGATGGTCGTTTTCTAGAGACGATTTTAGTTCACACAAATTGTAGTAGTAGGACAGCAGAACACGAATTAATGCGGAAGATGAATACACGAAGACGACACGTTATGCAATATCCTCGTTTCTATTGTGTCTGGTTGATACTAGAAGATACACACAAACACACACATGTACATGGTCTGTTCAAAAAGTACCCGGAATTACTAATAATTAAATTTCGCGGGTCTGGAGTGTCTGATTGTCAAATTTTTTTTTTATTGTGTTGGTATACATGCCCCTAAAGTATGATGAAATTTTCAGCTATATTCACTGTTTACTTTGTCTGTGGTAGTCGCTAAGGTTCGACGTGTTTTTCTGAGCTCGGCGATTTTTACAATGGAAGAATTGAAAAAGTCAAAGAATTTGTATTAAATTTTGCGTAAAAAATGAAATAAAGTGTTGCAAGGTGCAAAAATTCACCAGATATGGCTCCGTGTGACTTTTTCCTATTCCCAAAGTTAAAGAGACCCATGAAAGGACGGCGGTTTTCCTCGATTGAAGAAAATCGCCGAGAGTGCTCAAGGACATATCAAAAAGTGAATATCAAGGGTGCTTCGAAAATTGGAAAAAACGCTGGCATAAGTGTATTATATCTGGGGGGGACTACTTTGAAGGGGACCACATTAATGTAGACGAATAAATAAATATTTTTTTGAAAAAACGAAAATTACGAAAACTTTTTGAACAGACCTCGTATGTACATTAGGGTGGTCCTTAATATGGACATTTTCGAATTTCCTTGCTCCCAAAGACTCAAACGGATCCAAATTGATAAAAAAACAATTCTCTGAAAGTTTTAGCTCTAAATATTGTCTTTTAGATGGAGCGCAATTCAATCAAACTTCGTAAGGAAATAGCATGGAAAACATTTTGATAATTAAAAACGCATTTTTTTATGTATAACTTAGCGACAAATGAATTAAAAGTGAAGTAAATTTGTGTCATTTTTTGTTAAAAATTCGACACTGCAAAATTTTTGAAAACTTTCATGCTATTTACATGCATAACTTTGATTGAATTTCGCTCTATCTAAATGACAATATTAAGAGCTAAAACTTTCAGAAAATTGTTCTTTATCAATTTGGAACCCTTTGAGCCCTTGGGAGCAAAGAAATTCTAAAATGTCCATATTAAGGACCACTCTAATGTACATATATACTATATGATAGATTTCCAATAGTTTGCATCTTTTAATAACCTTTATTGACTTCATTAAGAATACTTATCATTATTAAAAATTATTTGCATTTTAATGACTTTTTTACTAAATCAAGTATTTCATACATTAATTTTTGCCTAGAAACTACTTCAATAAAATTCTTCGAAACTCATTCAGAATGTGATTTTAGTATTTGGGTAATTAATATAATGGATTATAGCATGTTAAAGTTACTAGATTGTAATACAAACGGTGTGTCCCATGGTCGCTTTTAGAATTTATAGAATTTTAAGCAAATATAAATATTTATTTATTTATTTATTTTAAATATATAGCCCACAGATTTCTTCCAAGAGGTCTCAAAAATAAAACTATTATACAAATATAAAAATAACTAGATATAAAATTGTTTCAGATATCTTGAACGATCTAGCTAGGTGTTTATTTAAAAATAAATTCTGTTTTTATAAATTTATTTGGGGAAATTGTTACTAAAGTTTTAGTTGAATAACTAAATTTAGTTGTATACTAATTATTAGTATTAAAATTTTAGTTGAAATCTAATATTTCACTTTTTTTTATGTTTTTGGCTTACAAACATGAATTTTAAGCGATTTTATGCTCAAAGAAAAAGCAAACAATATTTTTACTATATTTTTTTTACAAGTTGTTAATTAATGTTAGGAGAATTTTACAAAAATAAATATTATACATAGTCATATAGATTTAATTCTGAAAGGTGATGAAGTGAGGTCACGTGACCAGACTTATGATTTCAGCCTTCCAAATAATCTGAAGGAAAAAATATGTATATATACTATAAATTCAGAATAATGTCGCAGTTGTACAAACTACGGAAATGTTAAACCGTTTTGTTTTACACGAAATAGCGATTATCTAAAAAAATATTTACAACTTATTTTTTATATTCTTGAATTATTTAAAAATAGTTAAAATCGAGGATAAGCATTGGTCATACTGAAGAGGAGTCTATAAAGACTCTGGAAAATTTCAAGTAAATCGGTCCAGTAAAAGTTGGGAAACCGTGGGTATCATAAGGAAACAGAGGAGCAGGATTGTCGTTAATATAATTAAAATTTAGAGAAATAATCTTGTACACATGTTCTTGAATAAGGGATCGTTCAAGTATTACGTAAGCAGATTTATTACAATTATTTACCCCCCCCCCATCCCCCTTGTCAGCAAAAGTAAGCAAAGCTCTTACCCCCTACCATGCTTACGTAAACATTCTGCAATTAATGTAAAAAAATAAAAATACTACCTATGACGTAATCATCATCCAGACTCCCCTGCCCCCCATATCAACCCAAAATAAGCAAATCAACAACCCCCCGCCCCCTATAGTGCTTACGTAATACTTGAACGGCCCCTAAACTTTAAAGATATTATAATATTATTAAACTTTGAAAATATTATAAAAACGAAATCGATTTGCTAAAAATTCTAGACCAGACTACACCCTTAAGTCAGAAATAATTTGTTCTTGTTTCTAAAATTGTGAATTAAACATAAAACTCCATATAATAAATTAAGATCTAATGTTGAAAGTGTTTAAAAAGTACAATTTTTACTAAATCTTTATTTTATTCAGGTTCTAACATAAACATTCCATTTTCTATATAAACTGTGAATTACTACATAAACTGTTGTGAAACTATCACTGCCCAGTTAAAACTTTTAATTATTGAGTGAGTTTTTAGTGCATTTTGAAACATAACTTCATCGATCAATTACAATCGACCAGCGTCGACTATTCCCCTCGAATTCTGACAAGATGCAAGATGGCCCCCTCAAGGGGCCGTCGGAGACCCCGCCGCGCTGGGGCGGCTTCGACAAGTTCCAGAAATTCAAAAACACCAAATCGAAAAGTTGCGACTACGCCGAACTGGACTACATCGACGAGAACACGGAAAACGGATTTAGCACTAATAATTTGGTTGACAGGTGTCAGTTGCCGTTGCCGAATGGTCTGACAGGTGTCAGGACGACTAGGCAGGTCGTTTCGGTCAGGGTGACCGGCAGGAGAGAGGTCAGGACGACTGTCACGACCAGGGTAATGAGGACGACCGAGGTTAGAGGAAATATTAGTGATAGAACGAATTGTGCTGGCATTGATTCCTGTGATAATACTGTTAATGATCAAAATGCCGCACATGTACAAGATGGCGTCGCGGCGCAAAATGGCGCTGCGTTACAAAATGGCGGTCCTTTACCAAATGGCGGTCCGTTACCCAATGGTGATCCTCTATCCACTGTGACTATTAGGAGTAATAAGAATCCGAAAGTGAGAACTGATTTGAAATTAAATGATGCTAGTTTAATGAATAAATTCGATTTTAAATCGAGTGCCAGTCCGACGATGGTGGTCAATGCAGGATGGTTTTCGTCGTTGAAAAGGACGAAAAAAAATAGGAATAAAAATTCGGAAATGGACAATGTTAAGGCGACGAGCAAGTCGGCTTGGGACTTGAGCAGCATGAAAAATATGGTACTTGGGAAAATATTGGTTAATTTTTAATTATAACTTTACTAATATGTTATAACTAAAAAAACGATGCTTTTTCAAATGAAACATATGTATAAATTTTATGAAATGAATCTCATGATATATAATTATAATTTTCATATATTTTTTTGCTTACACAAAATTCAATTACCATCATTTCTTTTTGTTATAATTTAATTCCCATTTTAATTTAATACTTAATGAATTGAATTTATTAACGAATAAATGCTTAGTGTAAGCAAATGAGTAAATAAATACAATAACATTCTTAAATATACAAATAAATAAATACAATAACATTCTTATATATAAATAAATAAATACATTAACATAGTATTTTAATTGATGAATGAATGATTAAATAAATAAACAAGTGATTTATTAAATATATACACACAATTATATTAATTAATTAATAAAATAAAACAAATAAATGAAATTTTTAATGAATATATAAACAATCCAATAAATAAACAAACGAGTAAATAAATAGATATATAAATAAACCATAAATAGAATTGTTTTAATTATTTAATAAATAAATAAATAAATAGTTTGATAAATAATTCAATTAATGATTATATAAATATTATAAATACTATAAAAAATAATTTAGTAAGTAAGTGAAAAAGTCAACTAACATTAATAAATAAACAAATAAATTGATACATAAATAAATTAAAATAAAATAAATAAACAAACAAGTCTGTTGATAAATAAATTAATCAATCAATTAATTTATAAATAATGAAATTTGTGAATAAATTAAATAATAAATATATAAATAAAATCATTTTTATTTTATTTATATAAAATAAAATATTTTTGAATAATGTTATAAATAATTGAATAAGTATATGAATAAAAACACTTAAGTAGATAATTAAACTAATGAATAAATTCAGCAAATAATTAAATAGTAAAATAAATAAACTAATAAATAAATAAATGATAGATAAATAAAAGAACAAATAAATAAATGCAGAAATAAGTCAATAATTTGATGAATAAATGAAACAATTGATTTATAAATAAATCAATAACTAAATTTATGAATAATTATATTAGTGAATAATGAATATTTTTTTATAAATGCTAAAATGAAAAAATGTAAAAAAATAATTCAAATTTTAAATAATTATTTATGAATAAATAAAATTGTGAAGAAATATGATTTCATAAATGTTGTATAAATAAATAAATAACTTAATTTGTGAATAATTGAATGATAAGTATCAATATGTGAATAAGTGAATAATAAGTATAAGTATAAACGTTTTAAATAAAAATAATCCTAAATTAATAAATAAGTCAATTTATAAATAACTAAATTTATGAATAAATTAAATAGTGTACAAATGTCATTTTATAAATGTTGTAGGATTTATTCAGTTATAAAATATATAAACAATTGTTAATTTAAATAAATAATTAATTATTTAAACGACTATATAAATCTATTGATAGATAAATAAATCTACAAGTTAAATAGAGTAAATAAATAAACATACTAATATTACAATAATAGTTGTATCATTAGATTTAAAAAAATTTAAAATTTAAATAAACGATGTACAAATTAATGAATAAACTAGTGAATTAATAAATCAATAAATAAATAGACTACTTAAATCAGTAAATAGATAAATCAATAAATTGATTAAATATTCCAATTTTTTAACTTAACTTTCACTTGCATATTGTAACTTTTAAATTTAATATTTTAATAAATATTTCAAATTTTGATTTTGAATATATTCTAAATTTAATTTATTTATTAATTTACTAATTAAAATATTTTGTATTTATTTTTATTTAAATTTGCTGTATGAATTTCTAAAACAGATTTATTTACAACACTTATTTTTCCTCCGCCTTTATTTATCACCATTTGTAATTTATAATATAATTTAATTTTTTCATATAATTTTGTACTAATTAATAATTAATTCATTTTATTTTAGCAACTTAAAGATGAATTGGGCGAAGTCGTCACCGAGATGGAATCTTTGGACACTCTGGAAGATGGCAAACACACCAACAGGGCGAAACAGATGTCCATCGGTAAATAGATAGATAGATACTTCATAATTATTTATATTTTATTGGTTTTTATTTATATTTATGTATTTACTTGTTTAGGTAGGAAAAAGTTCAACATGGACCCGAAGAAGGGCATCGAGTACTTGTACCAGCACGAACTTCTGCAGAGGACCGCCGAGGAGGTCGCCCAATTTCTGTACAAGGGCGAAGGGCTCAATAAAACGGCCATAGGTAAATGGAATCTATTTTTATAATATATTCAGTACACTCATTTTGTTTTTGTATGAAGAAAAAAGAATTTGTAAGAGTGTATATATACTAGCTGGCCCGGCAAACGTTGTTTTGCTAAGTAAGGTATATCCTAACAATTTCTAGAGAATCAAAAATATTAATACTTTAAGTGTATAAGGATGTGTGTTGTTTGAATGCTATATACAATGAGGTATTATAAAAACAGTAAACCTCATTAGTTTGTCTATATTTTGTCAATACAATCAAACTGGAAGTTTTTACGCTTTCTATAGAAAACATGGTATAAACCAATCCAAGTTTTTTTTTTGGTCTTTCGACTTATTGATTACGTTTCAAGTTTTTCATATTCCTTTGGATTCTGTATTTTGTGTATAATTGTAAATAATACTACTGAGCTTATACAAAATTTTTAAATTTCTGCGAGGAGAGATAGAAAATGAATTAAGTATTTCTTCTTTGACCTGCTTTTTGAAAAGTTTCAGGTAACATTCCATGAATTAAAGTAAATTTAATAAAAAGTATATATGTAGAGCAGGACGAGGCACAAAGGTCCAATTTGACTTTGAGCAAATATAAATTATATTATAAAAACCAAACCAATTATATCACAACTAATAACACATTTCAAACGAACAATTATCTGACTATGTTCAGTAAAACTATCAGTTACTTCATCATTGTAGAAATGTGCTTTTTTGATGTCTCTCAAAAATTTATCTAGATCTTTTTACCCTATAGGCGGGGTAACTTGAAACGGCCACGTGGCAAACAGGTCTAAAGTCTTATTTTAATTTTAAAGGATTTTACAAAATGATTACATTTTTAACTAATGTTAAAAAAAACTACCAACGGTAGAAAATACTTTTATTATGGATTTTCAAAGATTACCGTTTATCTCTCCCCATTTCAAAGATTATCGTTTATCTCCCGATAGCAAAGTCATAAGAATCAAGGTTATAGCTGGTTATACACCTTTTTCCCTCTACTTTCAAATATTGTTGTTAAACAATGCTTAACTTTGCTGGTTTTTGACACATCGGTGGTAGATTTTTTCAACCCCGAACCTTCATATATTACTATCTATTCTTCGATAAATTCTGAGAAATTATAACTGGAAAAATGTTATTCGACAAAATGTCCTTTTGATCGACACCAAATTTAGGTTCTGAATTTAAATAACAAATAAAAAATAATATAACCTAGAAAATGTTTCATAAACACCCATGAGTATTTAATTATACATATGAGATCTTTCAGAGCACCGTGTTTGAGAAAAATATTCCAAAAAGTGCATTTTCATATTAACATTTAAAAAAAGTTGATATTTTGAGTTTCTAGTAACACTTGCGATCCGTTTAATAACGTGTTTGTGTATAAATAAAACTACGAACAAAATTACTTACTACAATTTAATCGTAATATTCACGTAAAACATCTTATTAAAGGTAATTGAACATAATCTGTCAAAAACGTTTGACATTTGACGTATTAGCCATCGTCCATTGTTTTATTTAATTTATGCTTCTACAAAAAATTTCAAAATAAAAATGTAAAGTTTCTACACGATTTTGAAATAATCACACATTTCCGACAACCTACTGATTAGCACGAATTTTTCAAGACTAAAACTGGCCAAATCGGTTTAGCCGTTTTCGAGTTTTACCGAATCATTTGATCGAGAGCTCCATTTTTATATATAAGATATATATAAAAATAATTGTTCTAAAATATCGATGTAAGATGTAGAAGACGACCATAAGTAAATTAAGACAGATGAAGTCGTCAATCATAATTTATATGGCGATAAAACTTGTTACAAGTTCAATAACAAATTTATTGATCTCTTGTTTATATAAGAGGTGCGTTACAAAAATGACGTGAACACCTATAATAGATTATCCTTTTTCTTTGGTTCAAGTACATACATAGCATACCTAATAAATTCTATGTATATATTAATATTTGAATAAATATTTTATTAACTTCCCGTAGGGCAAGTTATAGTAATCGCAAAAAAATCGAAAATGAAAATTTTTGCATTTCTCGACGTTTCAAAGGTTTCTGAATATTTTGGCACACCTTAGAAAAATGGACGTATGTGTTTGTGTGTGTGTGTGTGTGTGTGTGCGTGTGTGCGTGTGTGTATGTATGTGCGGATACAAATTTTCGTCGACGATTTCGGGAACACCGATTAACCGATTTGAATAATTCAAAAAACGTATTGATAAGGAGACGTGCTGATTAGTTTTTGGCGAAGGCAGGTCTAGCCGTTCCGAAGATACGGGGCAAAAAGTGCCAAAAACGGTAATTCAGTTTTACGAGAACGGAGCGTCCGATTTGAATAATTCAAAAAACATTTTACTTGTATTGACAAGGTGAAGAACCGATCAAATTTTCATAAAGGCAGGTCTAGCAGTTTCGGAGATCTAATGAAAAAAGTAAAATAAAATGCCATTTGGCGGTCAAAAATGATCATTAGACATATGCACATCAAATTATCAGATATTTTATAGAGATTTTAACAATAAGTATAATTTTGGTTTACATTCCTATGGGTTCCGTACCAATGTTTACGCGTTAGACGTCGACGCGGCGCTTACGCGGTTTGATATTTCGTCTTTATGCAGTTAAAGCAGTACGATTGCTTTGAAAAAAAGTTTAGATCTTTCAAAATATGTCAAAATAAAGAAAACATTTTTTTTTCAAAAAAAAAAAATTAAAGAAAATTTTTTTTTTCAAAAAAAAGTAAATTTTTGTCAAATTTATAGTTTCTCAAAAATCTAATTTTTTCGAAGTAAATTTTTTTTAAAAATGTTAATCGTTTTTAAAAAGATAATAATTTTTGGTACGGGAAGTTCGAGCAATTTGCCTTAAGGCACGATGCCTTAATTGCCTTAAGACAGAATTCTACTTACAGCTAGTTTATTATTATTTGGACTGTAATATTTCTCTTCCCCCCAGGTGATTACCTCGGCGAGAAGAACGACTTCAACGAGGCCGTCCTCCGGTGCTTCGTCGACCTGCACGACTTCACCAATCTGATCCTGGTGCAGGCGCTGCGCCAGTTCCTGTGGAGCTTCCGCCTGCCGGGAGAGGCTCAGAAAATAGACCGAATGATGGAGTGCTTCGCCCAGCGTTACTGCCAACTCAATCCGGACATCTTCACCAACACCGATACTTGTTACGTCTTGAGCTTCGCCATCATAATGCTGAATACGTCCCTGCACAACCCGAGTGTAAGGGACAAACCAGGTCCGGAGCAGTTCATATCGATGAACAGGGGGATAAACAATGGCGGTGATTTGCCGCACGACCTTTTAATGGTAATAATGATAGTAGATCGATTGATAGTAATTAATTAATTTATTTATTTATTTATTGCAATTTGCTCTCATTAAGTCATTATTTATAATCACTTATCGATGGATTTTTTATTGGTTTATTTGTTTGATCAAATATTTTTTATTACAATATTCATTTATTATAATTTTTATAATATTGCAATTATTTTGTGTGATTAATTTATTTGTTCGCTATTCACTAGTTGGGCCGAAAATCGAAAATGAACATATTTGCATTTCTCGACGTTTTGAAGGTTTCTGAACATTTTACTGGCATACCTCAGAAAAAATGGATGTGTGTATGTGTGTGTGTGTTTTGTATGTCCGCATTTTTTCGTCCACGTTTTCGGGCGCACGGATCAACCGATTTGAATGGTTCAAAAAACATTCGATTCCTATTGATAGGGAAAAGAGCTGATTAGTTTTTGGCAAAGGCAGGTCCAGCCGCTACGGAGATACGGAGCAAAGAGTGCAGAAAATAGAAATCGAGTTTTTGAGAGAACGGAGCATCCGATTTGAATGATCTAAAAAACATTCAATTTATAATGATTGGGAGAAGGGGTTATTAGTTTTTCGCAAAGGCAGGCCCAGCCATTTCGGAGATACAGAGCTAAATGTATAAAAAATGGCAGTTTTTGAGTGAACTAAGCGTCCCATTTGAATGATCTAAAAAACTGCTTTCTGCTTGTATTGACAAAACAATTGCTTTTGAGGATTAAAAATTATTACATCTTTTTTTATTTTCTATAAAATATTTTTGTAATTTTGGATTAAAAATTCAAAAAAAATACCCGGGCTAAGCACAGTCTAAGCGCCACTCTGGTACAAATATTTACCCAAGCTAAGCACAGTATAAGTGAAAATATCGCACAGAATTATTTGCAAATGCGTTTAGACTGTGACTATACGGGAGCACTTTTTCAATTTTGTGCGAATTAGGCGACTATTTTTTTTTTTGAAATTGAATTCGAAATGACATGACGATTGTTAATGCTCTGGAAATGATTTGATTTATTTATGATTTACATTTGATTTGCTCAGATATAACAAGATGGCAAAAATAATGAAAGTTACAGTATTTGTAATAATATATTTGAAAACGTTTAAAATTCCTTGAATATTTTATTACGGTACCGGAAGTTCCAGCAATTTGCCTTAAGGCATGTTCCATACATCACTAGTTTTTTATTACAATATTCATTTATTATAATTTTTATAATATTGCAATTTGTTTGTATAATTAATTTATTTGTTCACTAATTTATATATTTTGTTTAGTTTATATATTTATTACAATATTCACTAGTTGAGTAAATTATATATCCAATTATTTGTTTTATTAGTTCATTTATTTATTAATTTAATCAATTATTTATATATATAATTATTTAATTATTTATATATATAATTGATTTATTACAATATTTATGCTTTAGTTTTTCTATTTATTTATTAGCTTGATTTTTATTCAATTGCTTTTTTTTCTATTTATTTATTTGTTTCTTTATTTGTTTGTTACTTAATTCGTTTTTTCATTCAAGTTTATTTATATATTTATTTTTTTTAATTTTAATCATTTCTGGATTTATTGATTTGTTTATCTATTTATTGATTTATTCATTTTATTCAAATATTTATTCATTTATTTATTTACACGTTAATTCAAATTATAAATTATTTACTAGTCGTTTGGATTTCCTACTAATTGCATTTCTCGATTTACCCATATTTATTTTTTATAATTCATATTTTATTACAGTATTTACCAAATTATACATTCAATTTATTTCTTTTAATTAATTTATCAATTTGTTTACTCGACTGTTTATTAATTTATTATTTATTTACTTAAATACAAGTTAAATAAATTGTTTTCATATTTAATTTATACCTTGTATTCAATATAGTTTTAAAAGTAGAGAGAATCTAGATTTTATTATATAAATATTAATCGAGTATTTTTTATGTAGAGTTGTTGTGAAAAATGAGTTATATATTTATTGTTTAATACATTAGAGATTATTAATTCATTATAATATTAATTTTTATTATTTTATCTATTTCCCAGTCTTTATACGAATCGATCAAGACCGAGCCCTTCAAGATCCCCGAGGATGATGGCAACGACCTGATGCACACGTTTTTCAACCCCGACAAGGAGGGTTGGCTGTGGAAGCAGGGCGGAAGGTACAAGTCGTGGAAGAGGCGCTGGTTCATATTGAACGACAACTGTCTCTATTATTTCGAATACACCACTGATAAGGAGCCGAGGGGGATTATTCCACTGGAAAACATATCGGTAGGAAATAGACAGATTTACGCTACAAATATGTGTATATACATTTATATATATATATATATATATATATATATATATATATATATATATCACGGACACCTTTGAACCAGTCTCAAGATCAACTTACATTTTTTATATTTATCATCACTTGTGCATTATGTTAAATGTTTTTAGATTACTGAATGATGACACACATCAAGTGTCGAAACGTATAATTGAATAAATAATTTTGTATTTAATCTTTTTTAATTCGACTGTTGGGCTGCTAAAAAATTTACAAATATGTATCAACGTCGACGAAACTTTCAACATATTACTCCTAGGCCTTCAAAGGATCAAGTTTGTTCTCCACAACAAGCTTTCAACATATATATATATATATATATATATATATATATATATATATATATATTTAAAGCATATATATATGCTGTTAATATTTAAAGACAATTAGTCCAGTCATTTGGTCGTTTTGCCGGTACAGTACTCCGGGAATTCTGAAAATTGGTAATCTTATAGATTTCGAGGTGCTCTTTACGAAAATCAACTTTGCCACCTCAAATTTGAACGGCAAGTTGCCGCCATGGCGTCAAAAAACAGCTTTTTTAAAATATCTCCTTTCTGGCTGATTCTACGATAAAAGTATCTATGTACGAATTAAACAAGATAAAATTTCCTACAATTCTTTAGAAAACCGTTTTTTTGTAAAATTGATAGTTTGAGAGTACGGCCGCCTCAAAGTCTTTGCTGCTCTTGCCGTATTATCAAATCTCTCCATATACGACAGCACTTTGAACTTGACCACATTCTCTCTAATAAATAAATATTTTCAATGTTAAATTAAGTGAATAAGATCAGAAAATAAAATAATTCAAATATTTTTGTCTTTTGCTGATTTTTCAACATAGCTTCAATAGCAAAGTAGCTATAAACAAAATTAAACTAGAGAAAGCTTTCTATAATTTTTTCAATATATTTAATTTTGTTAAACGAATTATTTTGTATCTAAACATTCGATTCGTATTGATGAGGAGACGTGCTGATTAGTTTTTGGCGAAGGCAGGTCTAGCCGTTCCGAAGATACGGGGCAAAAAGTGCCGAAAACGGTAACTCAGTTTTTAAGAGAACGGAGCGTCCGATTTAAATAATTCAAAAAACATTTCACTTGTATTGACAAGATGAAGAATCGATAAAATTTTCATAAAGGTAGGTCTAGCGATTTCGGAGATATGGAGGAAAAAGTAAAAAAATTAGCTATTTGGCGGTCAAAAATGATCATTAGACATATGCACATCAAATTATCAGATATTTTATAGAGATTTTAACAATAAGTATACATTTTGTTAACATTCCTATAAATTCCGTACCAATGCTTATGCGTTAGACAGCGACGCGGCGCTTACGCGCTTTATATTTTGTCCCTATGCAGTTAAAGCAGTACGATTGCTTTGAAAAAAAAGTTCAGATCTTCAACAATATGTCAAAAGAAAAAAATTAAAAAAAAAATTTTTTTTTTAAATTTTTTTTTCAAAAAAAAGAAATTTTTTGTCCATATATATAGTTTCTCAAAAATCTTATTTTTTCAAAGTACATTTTTTTCAAAAATGTTAATTGTTTTTAAAAAATTAATAATTTTTGGTACGGCAAGTTCCAGCAATTTGCCTTAAGGCACGATGCCGCCTTAAGACAGAATTCCACTTACAGCTAGTTAGCGTTTTGGTTTGACGTTGAGTTCTGGGACACCCTCTAAAATATGCAGATAAACTAAATGAACAGAAAAATATTAGGGATGTATTATGTTAATAATTTTAGATCAATTTTTTTAATAATTTCACATTTAATTTTACAAACTTAAAAATGATTGTTTAAACTGAAGTAATATCTTTGTTTGAGAACAACTTATTTTTTAAAAGATACTGAAGATCATTTCCATAAATAATTAAGTATATTTAATTAAAATTTAATACTTTGTATTTCAACAATGATTTTATTAGGCATCGATATGTTTTGTACACTTTTTTATTTTTGTATATAATTTCATGACATACTTAATCTAACTTGGAGCTAATTTGCTCCAGATACAGTTTTAAAATTCTAGATTTGTGAATTATATATATATATATATATATATATATATACATTTATGAATATTTTTATTTATATTTTTATTAATGTATCTTATTCAATTTAGGTTCGAGAAATCCAAGACAGACAGAAACCTCACTGTTTTGAGCTGTACGCCTGTGGCGGTGCTGATTTTATAAAAGCTTGCAAGACTGACTCCGAAGGAAAGGTAATTACAAGAAGAATTACTTATTATTAAAGAGAAACCTTCTAATGAGACTGTCAGGAAGGTTGGGTTAATAGAAACAGGGAAAGCGAGAACATGCAGATTGTCTATAAATGTTGTAAATTATTTAAGTTGTTATATAAGTATAAGTTTGTAGATTGTTTCAAAAGGTTGTAGATTGTCTGAAAGGGTTGTATAAGGTCTGCATGTGTTGTAAGTTGACTGTAAATGTTGTGAATTATCTGAAAGTTTTGTAGATTGTTTATAAATGCTGTAACTGTTTGTAAATATCATAAATTGTCTGCACATGCTCTGGATTGTGCTGAAAGTGTTATAAATTATTTCAAAATATTGTAAATTATCTAAAAATGGCGTTAATTGTCTGAACAAATTCTAGATTTGTCTAAAAATGTTATAAATTGTCTACTAATCAATTTCCAAGCAATTTTTGCAAGAACTATTCAAAATATAAAACTAAAACATTTGGTATTTTAATAATGTATCATAATTTCATTATAAATATTATAGACATTCCAAAAATGCTTATAAAATATCATTAAACAATTTGAGTTCATTAAAAATATCAATTTATATTTTGATTTACCTCACAATATTATTTTTTGCTTTATTATAAACAATTTCTAACTATTTCCATCTACTTCAGGTTGTCGAAGGCAAACACACCGTGTATAGAATGTCTGCAGCAACTGCTGAGGAAAAGGACAAGTGGATCCGTTGTGTCCGGCAAAGTATATCCCACAATCCATTCTACGACATGCTGGCACAGAGGAAAAAGAAAGCTCAGCATCACGGATAGAAAGATTTAATTTAATACAATAAGAAGAATCTTTAAGAAGTAGTAATGGATTGAAGTGGTTATTTCTTCTTAAGTAAGCTGGCCTACTGGGGATATATTTTATGTAACAGTATTTCTTGAGCTTTTAATATTGTTTTAACATTGTTTGTCGTTTGTTTTCCATTAAATATTGAAATATCTGATATTTCAATGTTTAATGCTTACGTGGGTACCTGTTTATATTAGTTAAGTCTTAAGAAACAATGTCCAGCAGTTGGTTTCTATATTTTTTTAAATATTCTATTTTTATTTCATTTGTCCTTTTCGTTTGTTGTATAAATATATGTATAAACAAGTTTCAATGTTTAATTTAAGTGATGGGAAGAGTAAAAAAATCTACTGTGATTTTTTTTGTATATATTTATATAAAATATTGCCACTATAGCTAGTGGTTGTTGTAAGTTATAATATTATAATAATTATTATTAGCTTTTTATGTATTAGTCAATATTTGTTGTGTAAATATTGTATTTTGAACCTATTATATATATATATATATATATATATATATATATATATATATATATATACAGAATAGATTCATTTGCTTAGTAAAATTTTGAGTTTTGTTCTGGCACGATTAGATGAGATTTGAATTGCATTACATATCTTTCCACTTTACATATTTAAGTCTCTGTTTTGTTACCAATGAGTATTCTAATAATTACTAATATTATTAAATTAATATTATCATTACCAATTCATAATGCTAGACATGATTAATTTAAATTATTCATTATCCTCTTATAATTATTTTTATCAATTCAAATCACATCAGATAAGGTCCATGAACAGACACTGTGTACATCTCATTGTATTATACAATTCTTAGTCTTAAGTTTATTAATATGTTAATATATTTTCAGCAAGTTTTATAATTTAGATATTTTGGAACTTGTTAATTTATAAAGATACCTATATGTGTACATGATATTAATAAATTTATATGAAATGTATTCGAAAATTGACAGTTGTTTTATTATATATTTATTATTGTGTATCTTAGATTGAGCGAAACAGATTACATGTATTGAATGTGTATTACAATATTTTCAATATCCAATATCTGATTCATTTGAAATATAAAACATATTATTTATATATAAATAGAAGTATATATATATATATATATATATATATATATATATATTTGTAGAGTTTCGAACAAGAATCCAAAAATAATACAAAATAAAAACAAGAAAAGTTTTTTAAAAAAACAATTTCTTTATTTAATTATTTGTTTATTGTCGACGTTTCGGAACTAGGTACGTTCCATCTTCAGGACATCTGACGTACCTAGTTCCGAAACGTCGACAATAAACAAATAATTAAATAAAGAAATTGTTTTTTTAAAAAACTTTTCTTGTTTTTATTTTGTATTATTTTTGGATTCTTGTTCGAAACTCTACAAAATATACACAAATCCAAGACTCTACCATTCAATATATATATATATATATATATATATATATATATATATATGATTTAGTAGTTAATTTTGATTTGAATATATGAGTTTCTGAGGGCGATACATCAAACAAAGAAAGCCAAAGATTTATAAAATATCTTTATTTCCAAACGTTTCGACATTCAATTTAATGTCACATCAGTGGATATTACGTTGGTTAGTTACATATAGAGAAGTGTACACAGCACTAGAGATTGGCACTAACATTATACAACTAACTGTCAGCACTATGCATTTTTTATATAATTTTTTTGTATGATGTAAACAGAAAAATGATAGTTTTATTAACAAAAATTAAGTAGAATTATGTAATTTCTGCCACGACTTCTGTACTTTGCTAGTACCGAGGCATATATCCATATGCTCGGTACTAGCAAGTACAGAAGTCGTGGCAGAAATTACATAATTCTACTTACATTTTTGTCAATAAAACTATCATTTTTCTGTTTAATCATACAAAAAATTATATAAAAAATGCATAGTGCTGACAAGTTAGTGTAAAATGTTAGTGCCAAATCTCTAGTGCTGTGTACACTTCTCTATATGTAACTAACCAAGTAATATCCACTGATGATGACATTAAATTGATGTCGAAACTTTTGGAAATAAAGATTATTTTATAAATTTGGCTTTTCTTGTTTGATGTATCGCCCTCAAGAAACTCATATATATATATATATATATATATATATATATCCATGGATAGATATCTACGGATTTTCATATACACTTCTCATATACATAAACACCTCTATAATTATATGAGCGATATATAAATTCCTATAAGAATCTCATAGTCCACATGAGTCCTTTATAAATTTGACTTTAAACGCCTGGCTGTATATGCAACCCAACATACTCCATATATACACGATATATAATTATAAGGAACGTGGCCATGTATATATATAAATCTCTTATAAATTTGTATGGACGATATATAAATGTGGACTGGGTTGAGAACGAGATATACGCGTTGTGCATGTGTGGTGCATTGAATATGTATGTAGTGGTGAAATCATGAATACGTGTGTAGTTTAGGGAGTCCATCGCCAGTTATATATCAGTATATAGAGAGATAGTTGCGAGCACGGACGACTCCTTGTCAATTTGAAGGTGACTGTACCAATTTTGTTAGGGAGTCCATCCACTGCCCAATAAATATATGAATATTTAAATAGTTAGGAGGATTTTATTGTTGACAATCAATAATTAATTTGACAATTTAGATTGATTAATTATTAATTTAAAACAATTAACTTTATTTATTTCAAATAGTTGATACTATAATAAATAGAATTTTTATGAGCCAACATAAAGAATATATATATGTAGATACATATATATATATATATATATATATATATATATATATATATATATATATATATATATATTGGAGTATCGATGTATATATATACGCCTCTTTAATTATATAAGCGATATATAAATTCCTATGAGATTCTATGAGCGATATATAAATTCCAATAAGATTCTCATAGCCCACGTTAGTTCCGCTCAAAGCCACCGAGTTTAGAGTAGCGCTAGCGTCTATGCCGTCGTAGGGAAAGAGATATACGCATTGTGTATGTGTGAGTGCATTTAATATGTATGTAGTGGTGGATTCAAGAATACGTGTGCAGTTTAGGGACTCCATCGCCAGTTATATATCAGTATATAGAAAGGTAATTGCGAGCACAGACAACTCCTTGTGAATTTGTAGGTGACTGTACTACTTTTATTAGGGAGTCCATACACTGCCTAATAAACACATTATTTAAATTTAAAAAATATGACATTACTGAAAAAGATTAATATACATAGACTGTTTTTAAGTCTTTATAAAATACAAATTAAATTATATTAGATATACAAAATATAAATGAAACATTTTTATGCATTTTAATTTATTTATTTATTTAAATCAGCATAATATCAGTTTACATAATATTAAATATTAAATATATAAAATTTAATACATAATATAACAATAATAATAATTTTAGGTCTAATTTTTATAAGTTCAAACATATTCAATTAAATTATATATTGTATGAAAATCAATTTTGACAATTTAATTATTATATTCATAAGCTATTTGTTCAATGATTGCTAATTGTATATGTAATTGCCATTCTAATTACTATAAAAGAGAACATTAGGGTTTGAACAACCCCAAATACACGTGAAATTTTTAAATCATCATTTTGGGGTGTTCTGAGCAAAAAACGGACAAAATTCTCCCCCCTGGAACCCCGCTTGAAATCCGTACATTCCTGAAGAATCGTATGCCATCATTTTGCAACCCCTCCGGCAACTTTTACATTTTCCAGTATTTTTTCACCCCCACATTTGCCAGAAATCCATTCTCAGTGTCCTCCCATATAGTCGACGGCCATTTTGCATCTCGGTAGCCGAAACGGCTAAAGGACTTCACTAATATCATCGAGTCCATGTGATCCAGTTCGAATCCCAATCCTCGTGGTAGTTCCAGTTATCTAGTTGTTTATGAGTTGCTCATAGTAGATCCATTGTTCTTCTGTTGACTGGAATGGAGCTGTAAGAAAATAACCGATGAGTTGTGGTTAGAAAATTAATAAAATATCAAAGACAAAATAGAAGTCGTTATGAGAACTCAAACACATGTTTTGTGTAACAACTGAGTGGACAAGGTCGTTTAGTAGCATTTGTTAGATGATGCACTCTGTAGTTCGAATCTCCTAAACGGTAAAAAAGAGAATAATAATTATTTTTCATAAAGTTCAGTACCTCAAACTAGACAAAAGACTTTTCCATTAAATTTTTTACGCTTAAGATAGGAATAGCCGAGGTCGTTAAGTAGCAACAGCGATTATCCAGTTCGATGGTGCTGTAGTTCGAATCTTCAAATAATAGATAAAAACTAGTTGCATTAGAATGTGTAGAACAGTGCAAGTTCGAGACGTAATAACGATATTCAATTTTCAAAAATCTTTAAATCCTCGTAATAGACAAAAGGCATTTACATTAAAAATAGTTATTATCAAACGACTAAATAGCCAAGAGCGTTTAGTGGTCGTCGTGGTAGTTGGATGTGCGTAGGATCGATCCCAGAAGAAGTAAATCTATGTAGATGAAAAATAACTGATGTAAAGTTTTTCAAAATGATCAAATGTTAGTTCAAAGAAATAAATTCAGATGGCGGATTGATTAAATTTAAATAACTAGAGTGGAGCGCCTGATGCAAAGGTCTTCGCAAAATACTTGGAGCTGTCAACCTTCAACAGTCCTTCCTGAATTAGACAAAAGCGTTTCCAAAAAAATATAAGTTTCTTAATAATCGGATAGCCGAGAGCGTTTAGTCGTCGACATCACGTTGACTGGCTAAAGGTCTCTCGGATCGATTCCCAAAGACTCAGGTAGAAAATTCGAAATCCTAGTTTTTCGAAATCGGCAAATATTAGTTCAAAATATTAAATTCAGGTGACGCATTTCGACCTTGACACTTAGAATATTTCTGAAAAACAAAAACTCAAAGTTCGCACTTGACTGTAATAGAAATATATGAAGAGAGAATGATAAAAGGTAGTGGAAGAACTGGGGAAAGAGAAGGGTAGACAAGGGTGATGAATAAGAGAGATGTGTATGATACATATTCTTTATTCAAATTCAATATTAATACAATATAGGAATAAAAATAACTTTTATCATCAGTAACACAAATAGCCGAGTGGTTTAAGGGACCGCATACTCGGTGAAGTCACTCTGGAGGCAGGCACAAGGTAAGACGGATCGAGTCCGGCTGAAGGCGACGACAAGGAACTCTGAAGCAGAAAAAATGGAGCAGTGCTGGTGGATGGCTGTTGGCGAGCGCAAAGGGTCCTGAAACGAACACACAAAGTGATGGTCAACCTGAGGTCCATGATGCGAGAGGTCACACGCAGAGAGACACATCGCGGAAAATGCATGCCGAACCCAAAAATCTACCCAAAAACCACAACATGCGAAAAAAACACCAAAAAAGGAAAAAAAATGTGAAAAAAAAGGGAAAAAAAGGGAAAAAGAAGGAGGAGGAAGGGGAGGGGAAGGATCTAAAAAAAAACCCCTTAAGTCCCAGATCAATTTTTCTCTTTTCTGTTCAGCGTTGAAACTTTTTTATGTTTTTTAGTGTTCCCTCACACCAATTCCCAAAGCCAACACTCGAATGAAATAAAGTCCACATTGAAATTTTCACAACGAGAAAAAATTACTGAGACTCAGTTAAAATATTTAACTTTGCCTCAATAAAATTTTCTCGTTGTGAAATATTCAATGTGAGCCTCATTCATTCGAATGTTGGCTTTGGGATGATATAGCATGCAAAAATAACTCGTCTGTCTTAATCGAAAAGGTTTCACAAAATTTTGGACTTAGAAAAAAATTATCTGAAAGTACTTACAAAAAAAAATTATTCGAAAGAATTATAATCAGAAAATTTGGACTTAGAAAAGAAAAATATTCGAATGAATTTTCAATCGATGAAATGAAATGATATTAACTGAATCAAAATTGTTTATACGACTTGATAAAACAAGTGAAACCTTTACAATTAATCGAGACACAAACAAATACAGTTGACTTGAATAATATACAAATTATTAGAAAAAGCCATAAAAGAAATTAAATAAAAGTTGTAAAATGAAATAATAAAAAAAATTCAAAATGAACATTTAAAATTTCAAAACTATTTAAAGCTGATTGTTGTCCTTTAGAAATTGATTTAAATAAATTTTACAACTTGAATCGAATAATAAACTTGTACACAAAATTATGTTTTGTCTAATCATTCAAGTCAACTCTTCGAAACTTTAATCAAACTACATCATCATTGATTACACGTCTTGATCAAAATTGTTTTTAGCGATGAAATAATAAAAAGCTATATTTAGCAATGTAGCAGTATCATCACATAAATTGAAATCAAAATTACTAAATTACAATGAAAGACTTATAAAAGTTGCATTTAATTAACAGTTTGGAAATTCGTAAGTATTTTGATCAAAACCAACAATCGTGTTGCCATCAATGAGAATGTGCATGCAGTCAATATCGCTACAGGGAAAACATGACTCTTGATAATAGAAATGTAATTCTAGAATTCTTTACTGTGAAATAATGAACAACATCCACAAAGTGTAGAAAAATGAAAAAAATTGTAATAAAATAATTTTTCATTTATAAAATAGAAAAATTCTTGCTAACGTGAGATATATTTGCTGTTGAAATGCAATCTGATATACCGACTCTTCAGAACTAGAACTGTATGTAGTATGTAGAACTGTACCATTAATTTAGGAGTTCCTCAAGGGTGTATGCTAGGACCCCTTCTTTATATCCTATACCCAAATGATATTCAAACAAAACATTCGCTGAAGATGATGCAGTCATCAGGATAGCAAATTAACAACAATATATCTCAGCATTCTATGAGTGGCTCAACAAATAAATAAAACCAAATCAGTCATTGAATTACAATATTAACTCACAGAAATTAATTTACAATAACAACTCACAGAAACCTTTCCTTATAGTCTTCAATAATAATAATTCTATTTATGAAATTATAGTAAAAAACAAATTAATTTCAATTAATACATAAAAGAAGTACAAACTATTGCATTATACTGATTTAAATAATTTGTAATATTGTTGCTAAAAAGGTGAATCAAGATGTTTTCCCCGTAGTGAATTGTACAAAATCATTTTTATGTTTATAGAACATCACTTGCAAATAATAATAATTAAACAAAGTGTGTCTAATACATCAGATTGAAATCACAAAATTGCAAGTAATATTCCATATTTTTGCACACGCGTCTGCTAAAGTAGTACTTGAGATTCACTGAAATTGCAAAAACAATGTTTAGTATCATGTCAATCAAAAATCTTTATTAACTAAATTAACTAAATTGTAAATCATATTATAATAGAATAATGTGTTTAAAATAATGTGTTGAATAATAATGGGTTCAAACTATAGATGTAAGATTCTATAGTAATATTACTATGTAATTGCTTTAAATAAAAAAAATCAAAATTTAGCAGATGCATATGCATAAAATACAAATGATGCACGAGTCAGCAAATATTCACTGAAATACATACAGGCTGTTTTGATTTATACAATACAAATACAAGAAACTATTTGTTATGTGCTTGAGAACATTATCAGAGCAATATTTGTTGTACGATAAAATCCTGTATCTCATTCCAGAGAACTATTCATTGACACGTTGTGTAAAAAGATTGCTTCGACTTACAATGATGTTTCCACATGTTCCATAGAATTAAATCCAAATCTCTTCCTTAAAATGAATCCTCCAAAGCATCTGCTAGAAGATCCAAAGCTGAACTCTTGTAAATCACTTACACCACACTACTTTGATCACTGGCTTTATACATATAATTTATAATTTGCAAATGTCCAAGTGGAGTCTTCGTGATTCAACACACGACTCTTCGCGACGAACACATTAGAGACTTTTGTGAAAGAGAATTTGACAATATACAGATATGTTTCAGAAGTACTTGTAGCCTTACAAACATATTTACATACTTGACAATTGCATATTTGAATATATTATTATATAAAGGATACATTGGAAGCTGCAAATAAAGTATTTGATTATAAAATTAATTAGAATTAAGTGTTGAAAAAAATCATAGGTTAAGACTGAAGGACTTCGACACATATCTGTTCTAAAAACATATTATCGCGCACGAATATTATATCAAATTGATTTGCATCATTAGTAGAACAATGTGATGCAAAAATTAATTAAAACTAATCAGGAATTTGATTGAAAACATTAATTAATTAGCGTGTATGCAACTTCCACAAAAATCACTATATAAAGATGGCCGCCAGCAAAGGCGAACTGTCATGAAGAACTGAACGAAGTGAAGTGAAGTGCAAGTCGAAAGCGCAAAATTCAAATTTCATAAATAAACATAAACATATGTACTAATATTTTTGAACAAATTTGCTTGAAATTATCAAATTGTGTTGTGTTCATTGTAGACCTCATATTTGTAAATGTTCTGATTGCTTTTTCGTGTCACTTCAAATGTTAAATATTTCATTGATTATTTTCACAATCAACAGAAAATCCACAACTGGAGAATAAGCCTGCATACGATCCTTTTGTTTTATTCCTAAAGATTAAATAAATACATTAATATTATACTAATACACTAACAATTTATTATTCAAAGATCTAAATCTTAATAAAATCTAAATCTTTATTGTGTTTGTTTAATTTAATTTTTTGTCTCAAACATATTACAAAACTTAACTTACTTAAATATTATTCATTATCACTATATTTTATATTTAATATTAATTTAATTTATTATAATTTATTAATATAAACATTTTTAAATATATTTGTGTGTATGCACTGGTACATCATGTGTCAACCAAAAAATGTTACCAACATACCTAAAACTAATAGTGTCGAAATTCAATGTAATTAATTAAATTAATATAATAATGTAACTGTTTAAATAATGTTAGTTTACTACAAAGAGTGTAATTATATATTAATTATTAATTATTTTTTAGAGTTTAATAAAAACAAAGCACAAAAAATATTATCAATAAACAGCAACTCATTCACCAGTTTGTAAATTATACATTTCTGTTACAACATCCAAATAATAACTCAGATTTTATCTTGCATAATGAAAATTGTTATTGTTTTTTAATTCACGATAAGGATTATGATAAATATTTCATTAATTATGTCGGTTCATACGTAACATCATATATAACCTATAAAATTGCATTTGGTGAATTTATTTTTTGCAAACTTATTTAAATATAAATTTATAAACATGAAGAGAAGATTGACGAAATCTGAGTCCACTTCGTCTCAAGATAAAGCCGATAGTTTTGTAATAATTAATGAAAGGCCAGTGGATGATATTTCATTAGAGTTCTTTTACAAACCACATAATTTAACATTGCTTGGAGTCTCGATAGCAGCTGTGATATATTCAGCATTTATTAGGTATAATAAAGTAAATATTCTTCCCACTGTTTTTCTAAAATAAATATAAATATCTTGTGTTTTTTTTTTAATAGAAAAGAAGATAATGTCGAGGATAATATATGGGCAGGAATGTGCAGTGTTGTGTTTTTCTTTCTTATAATATCAGTCTTAACTTTTCCCAATGGACCTTTTACAAGACCCCATCCTGCAGTGTGGAGGATAGTGTTCGGATTATCTGTTTTATATTTCCTAGGATTATTGTTTCTGTTATTTCAAAGTTATCAAACAGTTAATGGAATATTATTATGGCTCGATCCAAGTTTGAAGGATTTTCATATAGATATGGAAAAAGTTAGTATATAGTAATAAAACGCAAATGTTTCTTGCAATTTATTTTAACCCTTTTTAGGAATATGGTGTCAACTGTTCAGACATAACATTTGAACGTGTCTGGTCTCATGTAGATGTTTTTGCCTGGGGTCATTTCCTTGGCTGGATGTTCAAAGCTGTTCTAATCAGGCACATGGGTATCCTTTGGGCGATATCAGCAATGTGGGAAATTACAGAAATTGCATTTGCTCATCTTCTTCCAAATTTCGTGGAGTGTTGGTGGGATGCTTTAATTCTAGATGTTGTTTTATGCAACGGCTTTGGAATCTGGTGTGGATTGAAAATTTGTAAAATGTTGGAAATGAGGGAATACAAATGGGTCAGCATAAAGTAAGGATAATAAATACTTATTAGTATTTGTAATGGACATATTGTTGATGTTTTTGTTGTTTTAGGGACATATCATCTACTTCTGGTAAAATAAAAAGGGCAGTCTTACAATTCACTCCAGGAAGTTGGACGCATGTGCGTTGGCTTGATCCCAATTGCACCTATATGAGATTCTTTGCTTATGCCAAATGGTGATTTCTGGCAGATATCAGAATTGAATACATTCTTCCTTAAACACATTTTTGAAATGCCTCCAAATCATCCATTGGTTTTTGCCCGTTTGGTTTTGATTATAGTCATTGTTGCTCCATCAGTTAGGTTAGTCACATATGAGAATTAATAAATTCAGGTTTACAACTTATATATTATATTTTAGGCAATATTACACGTATGTCACGGATGCCAGATGCAAACGTGTAGGAACTCAATGTTTGATTTACGGTGCAATAATGATTTTAGAAGCCATACTATGTTTTAAGAATGGAGGCGAATTATTTGAGCGAACACAAGCTTTGAATATTATTTTATGGTTACTCATACAAATGGTAGTTTCTGTACTGTGTGTATACGGATGTGTTGTATGGCATAAGTATTTTAATGTTAGTACTTTTAAAACATAATTGAAGTACTTTATTTTCATTTACTACATTTGATTGTACAATTGCAGACAGAGATTGACACGTCAAGAGAACAGTCTCCAGTGAAACAGGGTCGACCTAATGATAAAAAAGTATTTGTGGAGTCTATTTCTATAGAAGGTATATCTAAATATTAATAATATATTATTATTTTAAAAAATAACATTTAATCTTGCATTTTTTAGACAACTTGGATCATACCAAATCTGAAAAAGAAGATTAATAGATATAATTATTATTAAATTATATGTACATATGTCAAAAGCGACAAACAAAGCTGCAAATTTAAATCCTAATCTATTTAATGATCATTATTCTTTTATAATCAACAATTGTTTTGCAGGTACAGTTAATTACAAAACGTTTGATATTGCTTGCATCATAGTTTATAATTAAAGTATGATATTGTAGAAAATGTTTTTTAATTATTAATATTAAGAGTGACATGTACAAAAACAAAGTTTTTTTTATAAAATAAGGGACAAAGAATTTGTTCTAGTCATTAAAAAACTTGTAACTCTGTCTTCTTCAAATTACATTTTAATTATGTATTTTATAAAAAGGCAAAATAAACATGAAAATATGGTAGTAGATAGTTTTTGTATATTGATACACAAATAAGTGCACAACGTTTTTTTTACAGAAATTTGAGACCTTGTAAAAATAGTGAAAACAAATTTGTAAATTCAATACATAAAATTAAAGCATCAAAGAGGAGTCCCTATATCAACTGTATAGTGTAATATATTGTTTGAAAGATATTTACAAAAACCTAGAAAAATGTCCGCAACTACAAGGTTAGTCTAGCATTTAAATAAGGCGCCTTAATTTTTTTTATTAAATTTTAAATAACACTATAATTATATGTATGTATTATTTAACAATTCAGAATTTTAGAAGCCTGTGAAATATTTATTTGTGTTTTCTTGTGTTGAATGGATTTTTAAATAAATTTTAGTTTACAACTTTACTTCCGCCGTTTTTACAATACGATTCCTTTACAAAAACGGCGGAAGCAAAGTTGTACAACTGACAGATGATAACCTGTTGGCCATTTGTATTTACTGTCAAATTCGAAGTGTCAGTGATTAAACATTTTGAACAATGATAATTCAAATATCATTAACAAAATGTTACTAAAATATGTAAATTATTTCTTAAAAGTGTTTCAGATGCATTACGATAATAATTAAGAAGTTTATTGACAATTTGAATTGAAAGTTGTCAAAATGAGCGTCGCCTATTTCAAGGTTAGGCGTAAACAAAATTATATTTTATTATATAGATAACATAAAATTAACTGAATTATTATAAAAATTAATATTTTTAAATTAACGGTTATGCATATACCCACTTATTGTTGCCTTATTACTGAAAAACCAAATTTGAAAAAAATCAATACATATATTGACAAAAAATTGGATGAATTTTAAATTTTATATACATAAACTTTAATATATATATATATATATATATATATATATATATATATATATATATATATATATATATATATATACTATTGGTGATATGTCTGCTTAAAAATGTTCTGATCAATAAATCTCTGATTCGAATAAAAATTTAAATCAATTAAAACCAAACTTATAAGCAAATATAATTTTGCAGATTTTATCATAACTGGATTTGCCATTACTGCTTCTGTATTTTCAAGAATATGTTTTTTACATGATTAATTAGTAAATAGTATACTTGTATTTCTAGAATGTGTAGCTCGAAAAGCACTCTTAATGAAACAATCATCTTATTACCATTGATATATTGTGGGTCTTATTAATAATGTTATTAATAATTAGAAAAAAAAACACAGATTGCTTCATAACAATATATTACAATATGTGTCTGTATTTCAATTACTACTTCCTTAAGATTAATAAAGATTGCTACTTACTATTAACTCGACTATGGTTTACAACCCCATAGCTTTATAATAATTGATTCTATGAAAATTTTAAATTGAAACTTCTTTACCATAACACTCAACACTTCTTATAAACTTTCTTGGTTTATTTTAATATAAGGCAATAGCAATCTGAATAGAGTAATATGTGATATAAATATTTATATCTCTGAAACACATATTTATTAATAAATAATTTAAATAATTAATAAAATTCAGTATTAATATTATTATATACATATATACATATATGTATATAAATATGTAATATTATATATATATATATATATATATATATATATATATATATATATACTCGTATATAAATGGTTTTTCTTTACAGGATAATCAGAACTTTGTGATTGTGATATCAATCCTTGTAGCATTTATCGCTGGCATTTTGCACTTCTACACTAACATTTTATATTTGTTATTTTATACATTCCTAATCGGATGTGTCATTGTGACAATAACTCTTTTTGCATTTTTAATCTACTGTAACGATAAGAGACCTTACAAGAAAAATAATCAGATTCTGAGTGAAGAATACGAAGAAAAAATTCAGAGTCTGCATGGACTGATAGTAGATTCTCATAAAATTCGCAAAAGGGACAAAGATGTATTGATTCACTTGCCTGTTATTTATGGAAGGACCATTGATTCTTTACTTGAACAGCTGACAGATAATATTTTGAGAGATTTTTTGATTGTGTATTTGAAAGCTATAAATTTGGAAACTGATGCGTTGAATGTAAACTTGAGGGAAGATTTTTGGAGTGCTTTGATTCATCTCAATAAACGGTTGGGAAGAATTGATTGGACTAAATTGTTAGTTCAAGATGTTGTGACAAAAGTTACTGTACATTTTGAAAAAATGAGGATTGCGCAAAGCAGAGCGTACGTATTTTTGTCTCATCACTTTGTAACAGACATATATTTATCGTTTTATCAATTTTTAGTTCCGATACAAATTTTGTGCCAGTTTTTTTTATGCTGCCGTACCTGAAAGACGCCAAACAAGAGACAGAGCACCTTCGCAAAATTGCCAATATGTGTGTGCGTTATTTATTGCCAAAAGATTATTACAGAACACCTTTGAAATTATTTCTTAGAGAAGTATTAGCCACAAAGGGTAAATCAAATTTAAACTCACTGTGCTAACAAAGTGCTAATACTATAATTATATTTTAGTTTTTTATCCGGCCATAACATTGCTCACAAATCCAGACTACATTAATAAGAAAATCATCACGTATTTAGAATCCAGGCAGCATGAAAAGGCTTTACAGCAAAAGACCTTTGAGTATGCTTCAAATTTTGAGGAATTCATAAAAATTATTAACAATACAACTGATCTCGACGAGTTGAAAAGATATAGAAACCACATTGTCAATGAAATTATGGAGGTATAATTGATAAAAATATCTACTCATTAGATAAAATAGACAAGAAATTAAGTTATTTTTAATTATAGGCTACTGCAATGCAAAACCAACAAAGATCAAAAGGTTTGGATCCCGATTTGGAAAAACTAAATGCTGGACAAAGCAAATCTGATATTAATGCTGCAAAAAAGTTAAAACAGTATGTATAAAAAATTTAAATACATTATATATATATATATATATATATATATTCTTTTAAAGATATATCGGCCAATTGACTTTAGCAAAAATACAATGCGAAAAAGTTCTCAAAAAATTAGGATATGATATTGATCTTCCCAGCAACGAAGATGAAAAGGTAACATCATAAAGGCAATTATTTCAAACATTTATAAAAGACTATAACCTAAATAAATTTTATATTAATTTTAGATTTTTACATTGTCAAACATTTTAGAAACAGTATGTGGTCGAAAGCATTTTTCCATGTTTTTAGAAACCGTCAACAGTAGTGGTTTACTGGGGTAAGAACATTTATATAAATACCAATATAGGTTTTCATAAGGAACTACAATTTGATTAAACAAAAACAGGTTCTACTCTGCAGTGGAAGAATTGCGATGTGCTCCTAAGAGCTCTTGGCATCAATTAGGGGTTGAAATATATTATACTTATATCAGATCACCATCTGCAGAGATAAAAGTGGATAAGGTAAATATAAGTAATTGTAACTTATACAGAAAATCATTTCTCTTGTCCTGGGTGAGGTTCTTCTTGTTATTTTCTATCTATTATCTTCTCATTTAAAATTTAAAGGAAATGAGGAAAAAGATAGACGCCTTTGTCCTGGGAAATAGCGGACCAGAAGTCCTTTACGATCTTCAATGCACCGTTCTAACAACCCTAAAAGAAAAGTACTACCCTCCGTTCCTATTGAGCACTCAATATAATCAACTAAAAGAAGTGATCCAGCGAGATTTTATAGCAGACAGTCCACAGAATGAAGGCATTCTTAACGGTCTCATTTTAAACACAATATTAACAACAAAATCAGGCATAAATATTCATTTATTAATTTTGCAGAAGATGCTGATGCTGATATACAAAATTCAACATGCGAGGAAAGTAATGAAAATTTGTATGAAGGTGTTGTGTGTTTAGGAGATCACTCTAATTATGCAAGAATGAAATTGGAACAGTTGCAGGTATAATAAAAAATTACTAATTAAAGTTTGTAGTGGATTCAGTGATCAAAATTTTATTACAGGAAAAGCTGGATAATAAGACTCAGGCTTTGCAAGCGCTTAGATCATCAATTAAACCGGAGTCTAAAGTTTTGAGCATCTTGGAAAATGAGGTAATTAATAATAAATGTAAAGTTGTAATAGTTTTTATAATATTTTTTCGTGACTAGATGGAGTGGCTCAAAAGCGAAAGGCGTCAATTGGAATCACATTTGGCTAGGACAGAATTATGGGGCGAGAACTTGGGAAAATGGAGAGCGACTGTACAAAACGTGGAGGTTGGTAGATTTTTATTTTAAACCTATTTTTGGAGTAAACAATTTATTAACTTCCCGTAGGATAAGTTATAGTAATGGACCGAAAATAAAATTTTTCAAAAGGTCAATTTTTTTCAAAAATTTAAAAAATCTCAAAACTCGATTTTTTAAAGAAAATTGAATCTTTTTTAACTTCGCGTATAGGGCAAGTTATAGTATTCGCAAAAAAATCGAAAATATAAATTTTTATATATCTTTACGTTTCAAAACCTTCTGAACATTTTGGCATACCTTAGAAAAAATGGATGTGTGTGTGTGTGTGTGCGGATACAAATTTTCGTCGACGATTTCGGGAACACCGATCAACCGATTTGAATAATTAAAAAAACATTCGATTCGTATTGATAAGGAGACGTGCTGATTAGTTTTTGGCGAAGGCAGGTCTAGCCGTTCCGAAGATATGGGCAAAAAGTGCCAAAAACGGTAACTCAGTTTTTAAGAGAACGGAGCGTCCGATTTGAATAATTCAAAAAACATTTTACTTGTATTAACAAGATGAAATGATCAAATTTTCATGAAGGCAGGTCTAACGGTTTCGGAGATCTAGTAAAAAAAGTAAAAAAAAAATGCCATTTGATGGTCAAGAATGATCATTAGACATATGCACATCAAATTATCAGATATTTTATAGAGATTTTAACAATAAGTATAAATTTTGTTTACATTCCTATGGGTTCCGTACTAATGTTTATCCGTTAGACGGCGACGCGGCGCTTACGCGCTTCGATATTTCGTCTCTATGCAGTTAAAGAAGTACGATTGCTTTGAAAAAAAGTTCAGAATTTCCAAAATATTTCAAAATAAATTTTTCTTCAAAAAGTCTTTTTTTTTTCAAAAAAAAGTAAATTTTTGTCAAAATTTATAGTTTCTCAAAAATCTAATTTTTCAGAGCAATTTTTTTTCAAAAATGTTAATCTTTTTAAAAAAAAAAAATTTTGGTACGGAAAGTTCCAGCAATTTGCCTTAAGGCACAATGCCATACACCACTAGTTAAAAAATTTTAATTGCCTTGCACCACTAGTTTATCTTTTATTATTTCAGGTGCCAGATGAAAGATCACCACCACAATTTGTACTAGTTGTACATGCCACAGAAAAAAGTGCAAAAGACGAAAATCTTGAATTCAATAACACCTCACCGACTGATAAATCTAACGAAGCAGATACAAGTCCAGCCAATGCGGATACTAGTCCAGCCTTTATGACTGCCCGTGACTTTTTATCATCAAGAGACTTCATAACATCATGTGTATCACTAATTTCACGCGATAAAGGTATAAAATAAACCAATAAAACAAACAGTGTTTCATCAAACAATCATCATATAAATAATCATCCAAAGGTGATACATCAACTCCAGTCAATACAAACGAACCTGCAGAAATTGCCTGCACGAACGGAAAGGATGTATCAACAAAAGTGTCTGATCAAGTTGATGAAAAGAATTTAGACAAGTCTTGTGAAATAGAGCCTGCAAAACGTGATCCAGTGGTATCAAGTGAAATAAGGAAAAGGCGCACTGATAGGAGAAGGATTGATAGTGCTTATGAGGTATTTATTAATTAAATAATACTTGTTAAAATTACTGGTACAAAATGTGGTTTTTCCTACAGGTCATGGGTACAATAGCAGACTCGGTTGTAAGCGGTGATGATGGCAATACGACAAACATTAACAAACCAAATAGACATGAAGAGATGAGAGGTGATATTTGTACAGGATGGGTGGTACTGAGATCTTTGACACAGTTTCAGGTATTTGTAATTTACATAAGTTTAACATACCACTGACACCTAATTTACTTCCCGTAGGGTAAGTCATTGTAATCGTTTAAAAATCGCAAATGAAAATTTTTGCATATCTTTACGTTTCAGGCGTTTCTGAACATTTTGGCTTACCTCAGAAAAAATGGATGTATGTATGTGTGTGTGTGCGTATGTGTGGATACAATTTTTCGTCCACGTTTTCGGGCGCACGGATCAACCGATTCGAATGGTTCAAATAACATTCGATTCCTATTGATAGGGAGATGTGCTGATTAGTTTTTGGCTAAGGCAGGTCGAGTAGTTAAGGAGATAAAGAGCAAGGAGTGCAGAAAATAGAAATCGAGATTTTGAGGGAATGGAGCATCCGATTCGAATGATTAAAAAAACTTTCAATTCGTAATTACGGGGCAGAAGTGGTGATTAGTTTTTGGCAAAGATAGGTCCAGCCGTTTCGGAGATAAAGCGCTAAATGTGCAAAAAATGGAAGTTTTTGAGTGAACTAAGCGTTCGATTTGGAGCACTTTTTCAATTTTGTGAAAAATGTGAAAATGCCGCTGTGCTTATAAGCACAGTAAAAGTAAAAATGTCGCACAGAATTATTTGCAAATGCGTTTAGACTGTGACTATACGGGAGCACTTTTTTATTTTGTGCAAATTAGACAACTAAACTATTTTTTTGAAATTGAATTCGAAATGAAATGACGATAATGTTCTGGAGATAAATTGATTTATGATTCACATTTGATTTGCTCAGATAAAACAATTAAGATAGCAAAAATAATGAAAGTTACAGTATTGTAATAATATATATGAAAACGTTTAAAATTTCTCGAATATTTCATTACGGTACGGCAAGTTCCAGCAATTTGCCTTAAGGCACGATACCATGTACAACTAGCTTAATTTTTCTTTTAAGGATCTACATAGAAAACTTCGTCCTTTGTGCTCCGAGTTGAAAAACATTGAACTACCAAGCAGTAATGCTTTTAAATTATTATTTGGCAAAACTGATAAAGCAACGTTGGACAAGGCAAAGCATCAGATCCAAAAATATTTAGAGGTAATAAAATAATAATAAAATTTGATTGTACGGAATAAAAATTTCGAGAGAATTATATGTTTGTTTTTAGTTTGTTTTGACTGAAGAGCATTTATACCAAAGTGAGTCCTTGTATACATTTCTGAGCCCCAGTTCAGAACATCTCAAAATACGAAACAACACATCACCAAAGAAATCAAGATTCTCTATATCCACTTTACTCAAAAGGTAACTAAAAAATTACCCCAAGTAGTCCAGTCATTTGGTCGTTTTGCCGGTACAGTACTCCGGGAATTCTGAAAATTGGTAATCTTATAGATTTCGAGGTGCTCTTTACGAAAATCAACTTTGCCACCTCAAATTTGAACGGCAAGTTGCCGCCATGGCGTCAAAAAACAGCTTTTTTAAAATATCTCCTTTCTGGCTCATTCTACGATAAAAGTATCTACGTACGAATTAAACAAGATAAAATTTCCTACAATTCTTTAGAAAACCGTTTTTTTGTAAAATTGATAGTTTGAGAGTACGGCCGCCTCAAAGTCTTTGCTGCTCTTGCCGTATTATCAAATCTCTCCATATACGACAGCACTTTGAACTTGACCACATTCTCTCTAATAAATAAATATTTTCAATGTTAAATTAAGCGAATAAGATCTAGAAATAAAATAATTGGTTTAACGAAATAAAAGATATATTGAATAAATTATAGAAAGCTTTCTCTAGTTTAATTTTGTTTATAGCTACTTTGCTATTGAAGCTATGTCAAAAAATCAGCAAAAGACAAAAATATTTGAATTATTTTATTTCCTGATCTTATTCTCTCAATTTAACATTGAAAATATTTATTTATTAGAGAGAATGTGGTCAAGATCAAAATGCTGTCATATATGGAGAGATTTGATACTACGGCAAGAGCAGCAAAGACTTTGAGGTGGCCGTACTCTCAAACCATCAATTTTACAAAAAAACGGTTTTCTAAAGAATTGTAGGAAATTTTATCTAGTTTAATTCGTACATAGATACTTTTATCGTACAATCAGCCAGAAAGAAGATATTTTTAAAAAGCTGTTTTTTGACGCCATTTTTCCTATATGGCGGCAACTTGCCTTTCAAATTTGAGGTGGCAAAGTTGATTTTCGTAAAGAGCACCTCGAAATCTATAAGATTACCAATTTTCAGAATTCCCGGAGTACTGTACCGGCAACAGCCTTTTTTTGCACCAAATGACTGGACTAAAGTGTTAATTCTTGTTACATAATTTCATTCGTGTTAAATATTTCATTTTCCTTAGTGCTGGTATAAATACTAACAATCAAGTCATGGGATCTAGTGACAAAAAACACTCTTCAAGTTCCGGACAAGGTTCTGGTACATCTGGGGATTTTGAGCAACAAACTGAGATATCACAATATTTAGACGGGTGTCTTGATAATTTAACAGCACCCGGTGCAAGTAATGCAAATGGAAGTGGTTCTAATTTAAATCTGAACTTTCTTTCCATGATGAATGGAACTTCAGGCACTGCTAGTACTAGTTTAACTAGCGACAATGAAAAGGTAGTAGCAATACATACATACATTTTGTTTATTAATAAATTTTGTTATTAATTTAGGATACAATAGCGGAACCATTGTTTACACTGATGAGTGAAGTATTTGATATGAAAGGTGTATTTATGTGGTTCCGTAGAAGTCTTATATCGTTTGTGCAAGTTACTTATGGAAGTACCATCAACAGGTAATAAATATTCCAAACTATTAACAGCCCATACCAAATACCACTATAACTATTACCATTTTAGGCAAATACGAGACATGATAGCCTATTTGCATTCAGAATCAATGCTGCACTATTACCTATCGAACTTTATTAAATCTTGGTGGCCTGGAGGTGAACTGTGTTTATACGAAGATAAAAATAAAGTAAGATTTATAAGAATAATGTTATTTTTATTTATTTGTTTAATTTTTTATTTATTTTATTCCAGGATGCATCACCATGTGAAGAAAGTAATGTGAAAAATGATTCTCCTGTATCGGATTCTGTGATTGTAGATAAAGTAGATTCACCTGAAGCTAGAAGACTGATCGCTAATACATTGCTCTTAGAAAACATTCCACAAGTATGGAAAAAATAAATATTCATGTATACTGTTTGTATTTATATTAAAATATTTTAATTTAATATATGTACATTTTATCTATTTAGATGTTAGTAAACTTACTAGGACAAAGAACAGCAAAACGAGGAGTTGGTAAAATTTTTGATATTTTACAAGATGTACGAGCCAACAAACAATTATTTTATGTAAGTATATATATATATATATATATATATATATATATATCATGATTATTAATATTATTACCATTTTAGGAGATTTTGGAGCTCGTTATCGTAGAGTTGTTTCCAGAAATTCAAAAGCAACGAAAAGTTTATTCTGCAACTCAAGAAACTGCATGATGATGGAAAAACTGCATTATGTGGCTACTTACATTCCATATATGTGATATTTCAAATGTATATTTTGTGGGGATGTGTAAAACCAAATATTAATCTAAATTTTAAACCAAAGCAACCAATTATTTGCAGAGAGCAATTAAAAATTAGAAAGGATGTTATTTTAAAACCATGACATGTAAGAAATTATCTGTGTAACTCACTTTATATAAAGAATTTAATTGCATTTTATAATTATTATTAATAATTGATGGACACTTATATACCTATTACGGTGGGTCAAACTTTTTTTTGCCATTGAGCTACATTGTTTGTTATTCTTTGTAGAAGCATAGTTTAGTTAATATATTAAAGTTTTTTCTTCGTATATTTGAATATTAAGTCACAAGAAAATCAGGGTTATTCATATAGTCAAAACGAACCCCATATAAACATTTCAATGTGCCTCAAAAGCCAAAAAAATTGACCAACCTTTATTATTGTTTATTATACTATTTATAATATTATTACATTTACTATCCCCAAACTATGTATTAATAGCTAAAAGCTTTAATTAATTTAATTTTATTTACGCTTTATATCTTGTTCATTTCACATGATTCAAAAATGGTAATAATAATATTAAAAAAATAATGGCTTCTCACAATTTGCAAACCCAGTGAAAGTGAAACGATTGTTAGTATTTGTACTCAATATAGATTTATGATTATTATAATAATCACCTTTGCATATAGAATATACGAATTGTATCCATTTGTAGTATATATATGTATCCTCTATCATATTTTGTAAATATAAAAATATATATATTATGTACTGTTTATATGATGTGTTATTTATTATCAAATGATAATTAAAAACATAAACTTCTTCTTTATTTATTCAGGAAAACTTTATTTATTATAGACTTATGTAAATATGATTTTATTTTTCTGGACTAAAAGCTACTTTCATTTTTAAAAAAATTTCAAATCTTTAAATAATTTTCAAAAATTTAAAATTTCAAAAAAAATCTCTGAGCTTTTAAAAAAATTAAATTATGATACCGGAAGTTCCAGCAATTTGTCTTCAGACACGATGCCATGCACCATTATATATATATATATATATATGTATATACAGTGCTGGATTTACAGTAAGGGCAATCGGGGCTACTGCCCAGGGCGGCAAAATTTGGATAGTGAGAAAAAAATTCTGTACAATATGAACAACTATTTTAACAACATTTTTTATTTCAAGAAATATAATTAACCGAACATAATACGATTGCAATGCAAAATTTGGGTTGCGATAACTAAAATTTATTATTTTGTCTTGCCTCTCCCTCTCCATACATAAATTATCAAATTGGTTAATAAGTTATGAAATTTGGCAATTTGGCTAATATAAAGATCCGTAAACAAGCTGAAAGTTTAAGAAAAATATGTTCTTCTGTTCAGGAGCCCTCTTAAAATGACGAATTTGTGCACTTACAAGCTTATCGCGTCGAAAAAAATTTAAACTAGTGACTCATGGCATTGTGCCTTAAGACAAATTACTGAAACATCCCGTACTGAAAACTACATTTTATAAAGAGCTTTAAAATTTTTTGAAAAATGAAACAAAAAGACTTTTAAAACACATTTTTTGTATTTTGAAATTTTTCGAAAATTATGAACTTTTTGCAAAGCAATCGCGCTGCGTAGCTGTTTCAGAGAAGAAATATCAAAACTCAATTACCATTTTTTGTAATTGCCTGTACCAAAAGCTAATCAGCATGTCTCCTCATCAATACAAATCTAATATTTTTTAATTATTCAAGTCGATTTCGAGAACACGGATCAACCGATTTAATAATTTAATTTCCTATCAATTCCTATTGATAAGGAGACGTACTGATTAGTTATTGGCTAAGGCAGGTCCAACTGTTTTGAAGATACGAGCTAAAATGCCAAAAATGATAATTCAGTTTTTGAGAACAAAAGCGTCCAATATAATTCAAAAAAATTTACAGAAAATTTGTGGTGGGCAGGTTTAGCGGTTTCGATGATCCAATAAAAAAATTTGAAAAAGAAACATTAGGCGGACAAAAGTGTTCATAAGACATATGCACATTAAATTATCGGATATTTTAACGATATTATGATAATGAGTATGAATTTTGTTTACTTTTATATGCGTTCTGTAACATTGTTCATCCGTTAGACTGCGACGCGGCGCGTACGCGCTTCTATATTGTGTTCCTACGAAGCAGAAGCAGCGCGATTGCTTTAAAAAAAAGTTCGAAAGTTTCGGGGCGGCATTTTTGTCAGTGCCCCGGGGCGCCAAATTTCTAAATCCGGCCCTGTTTATATATATATATATATATATATATATATATATATATATATATATTATGTTACATAGGTATTTCGTAGTGTGCGCGCGATCAATAGAGTAAAACAGAGGTTTCCGGAAGCACACGAAGTACAAGGAAATTAAATTTTTTATTTGCGGCAAATTCAAAAACGAGCTTTCACATTTTTTTTTATTTTATTTAATATATTAATAACAAACAAAAGTAGTACTTCATTAAATACTCTTTTAAATAAAAACCCAAGCTTGATACAGATATAATTAGCAAAATCTACAATATATATGAAAACCAGGAAACTAAAATACTAGCGAATTTTGTATTAAAAAAATCTATTTATAAAAAGCTTCAGGTTTAGCCTACAACATTCAGGCATAACCAAGCAGTATATATTATCAATTACAATTACTTCATCTATCAATTACTTCGATTAATAAGTGTTTCGAGTGTTTTTCATAATAAATATAAATATTTTATTGATTATTATTGGACAATGTTTAAAGTTTCGCTGCTGCCGAGTTGTAAAGTAAAGCCAAAGCCAAAGCCAAAGCGCAGCGCGCGCTCGTTCTAATTTTCACGGAAAATTGCGAAAAGCATTCGGCAACGTTCGGCTGCGGTGAACGGATGGCGGACAGGCATTGGCGTAGGAGAGGAAGATGATAAATTTAATAATACAAATTAAATTTATTATAAATACAAATTAATTTATTATTTGAAATTATTATGTTCAAAATTCTATTTCTGCTCAGTTTGCGAGTATAAATATCTAAACAAACTAAAACTATTTTCTAATAATACATACGAATATAAATAGGGTACATACACCAGGTTAAAGTTTTTTCTAAGTTTTGTCCATCTGTCTGTTTGTTCCAAAACTGCTGGACCGATTTTGCACTTCATCTTATCTTAATAAGATTTTATCTTATTTTAATAATATTGTAATATTTTATATCTTGTAAATTTATCTTATTTTAATTCAAACTATTTTTTTCCCTTCTAGTAATAATTATAAATAATTATAACTAATGATATTTCAGTTATAATTATAAAAGAAATTGATCAAATCATTATAGGTCATTTTACTGAAGGTCAAAATAAGGTTAACGCAGTAAACAGATGTGTGCAGGTCCGTCATTTTTGACAGGTGATAAAATTATACTATCATAAAATTTTTGTTTGCGTTGTTATTATCGACTAATCGTTATTAGTGTGGGCTAAACTGTATACTTTTAATATTTTATACGTTTATTAATGTTATTTGTATTTTAATTTTAACTTTGCAACTTAGTTCATGTAATTCTTAGAAATATAAAATAAAGCTCTATATTCTAACTCAACTTCATTAAGATTTATTTATTTATTTTTTATGTAAACATGTCAAAACGTCATTTTTTGATTTATTACCTTTTGTATTCTGTTTATAAAATACGAATAGCGAAAGTTACAGTATTTGTAATAATCTAATTGAAAAGATTTAAAATTCCTCGAAATTTTCATTATGATAAGGTAAGATCCCATGCACGACTAGTTTTTTTTTTATTGTACAGAATTTACATATTTTCAATATTTTTATTTCGATTGAGTGTTGTCCGCCTTGATTCAACTTTTTTCCAACCAAATTTTTCCCAGAATTCGATCTTGAATCAGCATTTGTGAATCCCTTTGTTTCTTAACTGTGCATTTTGCTTTGCATTACAATTTGTTAGTCACGTGACCAACTATATGATTTTACTATCTAACTTTTAGTTTATTATTTTATTTTATTCAATGGTTTGGTTTTTTATCAAAAAATTTCTTTAAATTTGTGTCTGTATTGATATATTTTTTAGATTTGTTATATCTAATAATATTTTCAAACTTTGTATAATATTTATTGCTTTTTATTTCGACTATTAAGCTGCGAATAAACATTTCAAGAATATGTTTCAAAATTTTACAAAACAATCTAAAACATATATATATATATATATATATATATATATATAATTTCTATATATTTTTGCTATCTATTATCTTTTCTTACTACGCCACTGCGTTCCGAATACACGAAGTCGGCCATGTATGTGTTTTGTCAGAATTTTACGAAAGCAACAATATCACCCATGCCCACTCGCAGTCGTGAAATGGGTCTTAAGCAGAAAGCTCGCGTTCTATTCTGAAAGCAACTTTTGCAAATACCTCTTAAAATTCCGCACAAACAATTCACAAAAATATCCATTACAACATACCAGTAAAGATATTTCATTAAAGTTTCCCATCCTTCGAAATCAATTCGTTAAAGTTGGTTTCAACTTCAAAGATGGCGGAATGTAGTTGAATTAAATGACGCTTGTGTAAAATTTTAATTGATAAGTAATAATTGATTAGAATTAATTATTATTTAAAATGGTTACATGTGTTTGGTGTTAATTATGTGAGAGAATAGCCTTCATCTGTTTCGTTCTAAGTTGACTTTTTGATCGTCGAGTGACGTCAGTGTTTCTGTTCTGGTGGCGGGCAATACGAATCAATTGAAATGGATATTAGAATATTGCCGAAATAGTTTTCCCACTTGTTCTAATAAGAAATTGATAAAGGACCAAAAAAGCAGGGATACACAACCCGTTTGACAGGTGAGCAGCAAAAGTGTAAAAGTGTAAAAGTTTTATGTAGCTGTCAAAGTTGGTAAAGGAACAATGTTAATAATATTTACATTATTTTTATTTGGTTATTGTTTGTATACACTTAGATTCAATAAATACTAAGTTTTATTAATATCATGTGTAATATTTTATTTTTCATGAGTGTGCAACTCATACTTAATCTTTTTTTATTCAATGACGAATAAATTTGTTTTATTATATATATATATATATATATATATATATATATATATATATATATTAAGTTTTTCAGGTCTGCAATCAATTATTTTATTTCTATTAGATAATTCCAAACATTAATTATTTTAGGTTATCCAAGTCCTGATTTCACTTATCTTTAAAGTGATAAAACACAATAAGAACAACAAAGAACAATTGTTGAATATATTTAATAAAAACAAAAAAGATAAAATGGAAATTAGAAATATGCAAAAACAATATTGAGATATGAGAACCCACAATCAGCTCGATGATTGATATTTGATATATATATATATATATATATATATATATATATATATATCAAGTGATAACAGATATATAATTTTAGTTAATAAAAAAAATTTTCATACTAGCATCCATCCAGGTATTAAAAACAAAAACTAACGATAAATTCAGTTTAATTTATTTCATAAATTTATTTCTACTTTTATTCAAAGTTTTATTTTTGATTACTTTTAATTGTAAAGTTAATAATTTCTTAGTTTATTATTATAATTTAAGTTTAAAGATTAATATTATTATAATTTAAGTTTAAACAATTGTAATAAGTCTTCCATACATTTTGAGTTTGGCTGTTATTCTTCAATTAATACAATTACAAAATATAATATAATAAATATTTAAAATTTATATAATTATAAGCAAAATATATGATACAGGGTGGAAAAACTTATAAAATTTTAAATGTACAATTAAAGAATTTACAATAAAATACTAAAAATATTGGTCGAAAAATAAATAATAATGAAAAAAATAAGTACAGAAGAATTTACCACACTGAGAATTTAAAATAAATATTTTTATAATTTATATAATATTTATATATAGTAATAATAATTAATTATTTTATATTTTTCATTTTTTAACATTGATTTTTTCATACTTTACTGTGTCCATTATTTTAAATTTTTATTGTATTTACATTTTGTAGTTTTATCCACTGAAGAAGTGTCCAACTGAGATTCGAAACATATGAGATCCTTATTAAAAAAATTAAAACATAACTATAACAGTATTTGTTTTTAATAATTGGATGGAAACCCTTGGAATTTTTTTTATATAATATATATTTTTATCATATGAAATATACTTTAAATTTTTACTTCGAAACATATTTGTGTTTATTTGAAGACGAATAATTTAAATATGAAACAATTAAATTACCTATTTATTTTGTACGTTTGGTCACTGTATGTATGTCATCATTTAGCAGATAAACAAATTTAAACCAAGAAAAAACACATTTTTAACAATTTCTTAACTATTTGAATTACTACATGTTTTATTATTTTATTTTATTAGTATTTTTTTTAATTACTATATTTGTTACAACTGCTAAATAATTAACGTCTAGTAACAGTAATGAAGAATTATATAAATTTAATAAAAAGAGGATAGAATTTTCAATAGAATGATATCCGTAGTATGTTGACTTAATATAAAATAAAAGCAAATGATAATAATAATGAAATTAATAAGTAAAATAAGTAAAATTTCTGAATAATAAAAAAAATGCTAGAAAAACAATAAGTGAAAGATAATCATAAATATAACAAAATAACAATATTAGAAATAATAAGATTGTTAGCATGTTTTGCTATTTCTGGTTTGAGTTTGTTATTGTGCTGAATGATGGCACACATACAGTTTCGAAACGTACATAATAAATAGTTATTTATTTATTGATTTTTATATTAGGTTGTCAAATATCTCCTTTCCGCCTTTTTGCATTATAAACCAAGAGCAAAAAAGCGGAAGGGAGATATTTGACAACCTAATATTATGAGATGATTATAAATATATAGGTGAGAATGTCGTCTATAGGCGACATTTAAGATTTTGAAAGTATTTGTTATACTTTAAAATTGTTTCTTTCTATTAGCATGGAGATGGGGCAGGTCGCGCAAGCCCAAAGAAAAGTTCTCAACAATAATGTTGAGGAAAGCGCAGACGAAGGCAGAAATGGCCTGGACGACAGGAAGCGAAAGCAATGCACCAGGAGCGACACGGACAGCCCTCCTCCGCCTTCGAAATTATTCAAAGGCGAAGAAAGCAACGGCGAGAGGACATCTCCGTGCAAAGTGCAGATCGCACGACTGAACTTTACAGAAAGCCAAGATGCGGAAGTCACCAGGCCGTATATTTTTAATAGACCGATTTTGACGGATTACGATGAAGATATTATTGGAAGCACCTCCACGTCCACGAATGATGGGGCACATGGGGCAACCTCATTGTTGACGTCGCCTTGCAAAGTTCGTGTCGCACGTATTGATCTTGAATCGAGCAGCGATTTCGAAATAAGCAGCCAGGCGACTACGAGTCAAGGATCTGAACCCAACAAGGACTTACTCACCTTGATGGAGGATTCTGAAAATTCTTCGTTAAGGTCTGAGGAGGGCTCGGATTCTGGTTTGGGCTCCGATGGTGTAGGTGAGATAGCATGAATTGGCAATTATGTTTTGAATTTGGTACAAATTTTTGATTTTTAACAGGGACTACAGGTTCGCATACTCTTCGTGATGAAGATGTTGAAAGGAAGCGTCGGGAGCGTCGCGTCCGTTTTCATGCAGTCACCGTATACTACTTCCCACGTGCTCAAGGATTTTGCTGTGTTCCATCCCAGGTAAAAATTGATAATAGATCACATCTAGGTTTTTTGACGAAAATTATGAAATTCCAAAACCGGTTTTTCAGCGAAAAAAATCGGTTTTTACTGTATAAAGGGAAAATGAAAAATTTACTTGATGGAAGTAAGCGTTTTGATACTTGGAATCATATCGGTTCCATAAAATTTGGAAATTTATCAGTCTGTTATAGTTCCCAGAAAGTTCTATGTTACCTTTTGTCTAATGTATATATTAACTTAGATTATTATATCAATGTATATATTAATTTAGATCAATGCGACTTCTTGTTGAAGGAGTAAATTGCTCTACTCAAACTTGAAAAAAAAAAGCGTTTTTAGCCCTAGAAGCCACAAATAAAAGAACAACATTTTCAGAATTATTATATCACGCTTTAAAAACTATTAAGTCTAGTTCGGTTGCAAGTGAGAGAGTATTTTCTATTTCAGAAAATTTTGTGAGGACACTTTTAGCAATCATATTTCATTAAACTAAACTTTCAGCTTTTAGCAATCATATTTCAATAAAATAAAAATAATAAAAAAATTAAATATTTGAAATTAATTAATTACTAGTGTGGATAAACATTGGCACGGAACCCATAGGAATGTAAACAAAACGTATACTTATCGTTAAAATCTCTATAAAATATATGATAATTTGATGTGCATATGTCTAATGATCATTTTTGACCGCCAAATGGCATTTTTTCTTTACTTTTTTTACTAGATCTCCGAAACCGCTAGACCTGCCTTTATGAAAATTTGATCAGTTCTTCATCTTGTTAATACAAGTGAAATGTTTTTTTAATTATTCAAATCGGATGCTCCGTTCTCAAACTGAGTTACCATTTTTGGCACTTTTTGCCCCATATCTTTGGAACGGCTAGACCTAGGCCTGCCTTTGCCAAAAACTAATCAGCACATCTCCCTATCAATAGGAATCGAATGTTTTTTGAACCATTCAAATTGGTTGATCCGTGCGCTCGAAAACGTGGACGAAAAAATGCGGACATACAAAACACACACATACATTCATTTTTTATGAGGTATGCCAAAATGTTCAGAAACCTTCAAAACGTCGAGAAATGCAAAAATGTTCATTTCCGATTTTCGGCCCATTACTATAACTACCCTACGGGAAGTTAGTTAAATATTTGAAATTAATTAATTAAAATTGTTCGAAATAGAATAAACTCGGGGTTTTGTTTAATTGTTTTTAGATCTAAAATTGACATTACAAGTATGTTTCCATATGTATCTAATTTTTTTATTTATTCACTTGAAAGTTAAAAGTTTTTTGTTTAAAAATGTATTATTTTTATTATTCTAACTCTTTTCTTTGACTAGAATAAAAATATTTCTATTCTCATATGTGTAAATGATGCATGAATAAAATTTTATTCAAATAACTTAAGTTATTTAAACTAATTCAACTATTATTTCTTTGTTCTACTAATAAAAATTAAAATACATTTGTTTACTAATCATAAACTTGAACATTAAATAAATTCAGTCAAAAATTGAATAAAATCACACTAAATTTGCCGATTTTTTTTATTACAGAATATTTGAGCAAAAATTGAATTTTATATAAAATTCGAAAAACGGTTAAAACAGATTCTATCTTTTATTATTAACTTCCCGTAGGGCAAGTTATAGTAATCGCAAAAAAATCGAAAATGAAAATTTTTATATATCTTTACGTTTCAAAGGTTTCTGAACATTTTGGCATACCTTAGAAAAAATGGATGTATGTGTGTGTGTGTGTGTGTGTGTGTATGTATGTATGTACGTGTGTGTATGTATGTGCGGATACAAATTTTCGTCGACGATTTCGGGAACACGGATCAACCGATTTGAATAATTCAAAAAACATTCGATTTGTATTGATAAGGAGACGTGCTGATTAGTTTTTGGCAAAGGCAGGTCTAGCCGTTCCGAAGATACGGGGCAAAAAGTGCCCAAAATGGTAACTCAGTTTTTAAGAGAACGGAACGTCCGATTTAATAATTTTCTGAGTTTCTGAGATTTAATGAAAAAAGTAAAACAAAAAGCCATTTGGCGGTCAAAAATGATCATGAGACATATGCACATCAAATTATCAGATATTTTATAGAGATTTTAACAATAAGTATGAATTTTGTTTACACTCCTATGGGCTCCGTACCAATGTTTATCCGTTAGACGGCGACGCGGCGCTTACGCGCTTTGATATTTCGTCTCTATGCAGTTAAAGCAGTACGATTGCTTTGAAAGAAAGTTCAGAATTTCCAAACTATGACAAAATAAAGAAAACTTTTTTTTTCAAACAATTTTTTTTTTGTTTCTCAAAAATCTAATTTTTTCAAAGTAAATTTTTTGCAAAAATGTTAATCGCTTTTTAAAAAATAATAATTTTTGGTACGGGAAGTTTCGATGTCTTAATTGCCTTAAGACAGAATTCCACCTACAGCTAGTTACAGAATATTTGAGCAAAAATTGATTTTCATATAAAATTCGAAAAACGGTTAAAACCGAGCCTTCTCTTTTTCCCAGGGAGGGTCGACTTTAGGTATGTCCTCCCGCCATGTGTCCACGAGGCGCCTAAGCGTTGCTCGACACTGCGCGGAACGCCGCCGAAGACTGGCGATGGCCGCGGCCCGACAGCTCCCAGGGGGGCACAGCTCACGGAACGATCATTTCAAGGATGATGAAGTCATGAACGAACTCGAGGACTGCGACGATGATGACAGCTGCGAGGAGGACAGTTGCGAGGACGACAGCGACAGCGACGAAGACGACAGTGAATACGACTCCGAAAGCGTCGTCGGAGAGAAAGAAGTCGTCGCAGGTTGGACATTAAGATCGAAGACTGATAACGATGATAAACCAAACACCAATGATAAAGAATCACCATCAGCCTCCAACTCCGATATAGATCAGGTCAACGCTAACGAGCGTCTCGCTCCTCCGGCGTGCGAACCAGATTCCAATCGGGAAGATGAGGTACTGACTGAAGACGATGAGGAACAAGATCTGTCTTGTGGGGGCACCACTGTGGTCCTTGTACCGGTGACTGCTCGTAAAAGGCGTGCTTTGTTGCGAGCAGCCGGAGTTAAAAGAATAGACCCGAAGGAAAGGGATGAATGCAGGGCGGTGCGTGCTTCGAGGGAGGTTTGTGGGTAAGATAAAAGACAGCAATTTCTATTATTCCGCACTCCGTGGCATAGTATTCATATTAATAAGTTGCATGGTATTCATGTTAATAATAATTTAAAGTGGTAAGATTATATCTCTATCTCACTATCACCAACTTTATCTAGAACATGTTTCATGTTGCGCACCCTAAAACCCAAATTCGGTTTAAATTACTTACTTTCAGTTTATTATAGCAACTTTTATTCTCAAGTTTCATACGGCATCAAATTCTGGGGTTTTTCATCCGAACTAATTAAAATATTTAAGCCTCAGAAAAGAGCTATTTGAATATTTTTTTCCTTGTCCGGTAAAGCCTGGGTGCGTGGCATCGTGCATTAAGGCAAATTACTGGAACTTCCCGTACCGTAACGAAATGTTCGAGGAATACTGAATATTTTCAAATAGATTATTATACATATTGTAACATTGTCTAATTAATATTTATAGGAATTATATAAACGGAATTGCAAAGTTGATTATTTGTAAAGTATATTAGAACTATAGTCGGAATTAAAAATAAAATCTGAATTATTTTCGATATACAAAAAATTAAAAAAAAAAAGTTGAAACAAAATTTTTTTTTCCAAAAGCAATTATTTTGTTAAGACAAGCAGAAAGTTCTTTGAATCATTTAAATCGGACGCTTAGTTTTCTCAAAAACTGCCAGTTTTTACATATTTAGCTCCGTATCTTCGAAATGGCTGGGCCTGCCTTTGCCAAAAACCAATAAACACTTCTCCGAATCATTACTAATTGAATGTTTTTTAGATCATTCAAATCGGATACTCCGTTCTCTCAAAAAGTCGATTTCTATTTTCTTTGCTCCGTATCTCCGAAACGGCTGGACCTGCCTTTGCCAAAAACTAATCAGCTCTTCTCTCTATCAATAGGAATCGAATGTTTTTTGAACCATTCAAATCGATTGATCCGTGCGCCCGAAAACGTGACTGGAAATTTGTATCCATACATACATACACACACACACACACACACACATCCATTTTTTCTGAGGTATGCCAAAATGTTCAGAAACCTTCAAAACTTCGAGAAATGTAAAAATTTTCAATTCCGATTTTCGGCCCTTCGGATTTCTTTATTGCTATTTTATTAATTTAAATTTTTATGGTTTTAAATGAGTATAACTTTCAAACTTGTGCAAGAATTTTGAGCTTGACTCACTTTAACATGATGAACATTGTATTTAATGTTCGAATGCTTTTTTTCCGATCTTTTTTTTTAGAAGCGAAATTCATGCAGCTACTATGATTATTATAAAATTACTATCGATTTAATATTAATTTTGAATAAGCTTGACAAGAGCCTGAAATAATATCTATTATTATTGATTACGGCTTGCCTATGAATAAATAAATGACTTGCAATCAGAAGTACTAAGCAATATGTTTTATCATTTTCACTATTTTATTTTTACAATTTCAGTTGTGACTGTCGAGGCTTTTGTGATCCAGAAACTTGTGCTTGCAGTCGAGCCGGTGTTAAATGCCAGGTACATAACAACTGATTTTTATATTGCAGTTAATATATTGAAACAAGAGTTTATTGATTTTGTATTTTTAATTAGGTTGATCGTGTTGGTTTTCCTTGTGGATGCCACAAAGATGGTTGTGCAAATACAGCAGGCAGAGCTGAATTTAATCCTCACAGGGTTCGAACACACTTTATGCACACACTCATGAGATTAGCCCTTGAGGAAAGGCATTTGGGATTGACCAGGTAATAGATCATTGTAATTAATGATTGAAACTTTATTTTTATGAAAAACTGTTTGTGGGATTTGCTATTTTTTTGTTTTCTTTGACTTTACAAGTTTTGAATATTTTGTCACCAAAGAAGGTAATTTAAATAGGACAGATGAAAATTTTACCCAAATAACCAAATCAAAACTCTTACTGATTAGTATACCAATTATTTATACATATCAAGAAGTTTACACATATGCTTTACAGAAAAATGTCCCTTACACCAAGTTTATATTATTACAGAAGCAGTGCCATAAATGCCCATCAGCAATACCATCGCCAACATAGATCCCACGAGCAAAATAACTTAAAACTCATGCAAGAACCTTATCGTAATCCAGTTATCAATCACAGTGGTTACCCAGATCTGTTCCACTCTTATGGAGAATCATACGGTTATGAAGGTAATGACACAAATATACCATGTATATATGTATATCTTCATTTATTTATATATTTATTTACTCTAGGTTACATGTACCAACCATACGAAGAGCCTGCACCATCCTCATCATCAGGACTAATAGTTTACCCAGACAATACATGTCACAACGAACAAGAGTACTTTCAAAATACTCTACCCAATGAAATACGACCAGACAATGACCAAACACAAACTGAAAACGCAACAACGGCGCCTGAGACAAATATAGTCCGCGAAGAGAACTTTGCAGAAATCATTAAAAATTCAATGGTGGACACTGTGTCTGCATAAGCACAATTAATAATAATAAGAGATACATGTGGCATTATATTTGGTTCGAGTGCTTGTATATAAATGAAACACTTTTAGAAGTAGCTAATACATATGTTATGTAACCACAGATTATTGTAATAGTAGTTTAGTAATATTTCATATTTATAATCCATATATACGTGTAATATATAATAATATAAACACACTGAAACATTTTTCATATGAACATCACTAGTTGAATATCACTAATTCATTAAAAATGTTTTTTTATTTATTTGATATTTTATGTTAGTTTATATTATTTATATATTGATAAACTGGTTAACACATGCTTTCAAAAATAATTATTTTGAATTTAATGTTAATACTATTATATTTATTAATTTTATTATATCTTTGCCATCAGACATTGTACCAATTTATAAGAATATGTTGTATCCATATTGATTTAAACAACTATAATAATTAAATAGCATATTACATAAAATAGTTTTAGAATTTTAATTTTGTATACAGTTATTGTTATTGTTTTAATTTTATATTCAATTCATTTTAACAGTGATATATAAATATAAAACTAAATAGTGTATGTAAAATGTCTGATGATTTCTTTTGAACAAAACTCAAATATTTATTAAATAAAAATAATTGGCAAGTGGATATAACTATATCATGTGTGAGTGATAATGAAATGCAGTAAATGTATAATGTGTATAAGTGATTTGTTAAATGCAATTACAATTTGATTATACATTGATAAGCAACCGTAAGTTACACGAGTTATTAGAAAATTAAGCAAAATTTTATATTTGTGTTATTGCAAATATGATTGGTCAATTTAAATTTCCAGAATGAGTAATATCTTTTTACGCATTATAATTGCTTCTTTAAACTTTTTGTTTAATATTTAAAGTATTGAAAATGGCGGATATGCGTGATAAATTATAACGCAATTTTTGAATTCAAAATGTATAGATAATTCTCGTATAGATAAAAGTGCATAAATACCTTATTAATCCTGGAGTCTGACAGGATAAATTTGAACACACTATTCACTTTAAAAACACAATTTACACATATTATTATTTATTATAAACATTTTCTTCATTTGTGTTGTTTACATTTTGAAATCACTTCGTTGAATGACATTATGGCGTCCAAAAAGTGTTTGCCCAAGTTCAGATCTGTCAAAATACTTGTGCAAGTCGCAGGTTGTGCAACTCCTGACAGTTTCACATTAATTTGTCAACTGTCAAATATGTCATCTTTTAACCTCAAACAGGAGATACATTAAATGCAAATTATTGAATAATAAATGTAATTAGTAAATTTAATATAATTGAGTTGACTTACAAAAATGACAATATACAATATTTATATATTCGATCGTTTGGGAACCCTTTTACATTACGCTGAGTGGCACAGGACAAAACAATCAGGAATGACAAGAGAGGAAGAAGCCAAACTTATGTACGGCATGTTATTTTCAATTAAATCATTTGTTAGTAAAATATCTCCGTTAGACCCTAAAGAAGGATTTTTGTACTACAAAACTACCAAATATGCCCTGCACTATCTAGAGACCCCGTCAGGACTAAAGTTTGTTTTGAACACAGATCCTGGAGCTATCGGAGTGAAAGAATTGCTCCAACAGTTGTATAGTCAAGTGTGGGTTGAATATGTTGTGAGGAATCCTTTGTGCAATCCAAGACAACCTGTGACATCTGAACTGTTTAAAACAAAACTTGATGCATTTGTTAAACAATCGCCCATGTTCCAGAAGAATTTATAGTACTGAGGAAATATCACTTAAAAGTGTAAAATATATTTAAAATATTTTATTTATAAATGCATTACAACTGTTGTCAACAGACGACATAGATACATACAGTGGGTGAATTATAAAATGTCTGTCAACATGTTATAGATTAAACAATAGTTTAATCACTGATTTACATTCGAACAGTATGAATAGTTACAAATAAGTATTTATATTATCATATAAGCTTTATAAAAATAGTGTATTAAATCAGATTTATTTTAATTTCTTGTAATTTATTTTCCATGCTCCTATTTTGTATCTCAACCACAGCAAAGCCAAATCTTTTGCCATTTGTATACTTGAAGAAAACGGTTCCACCTAGTAAAATAATTTAATATCAGTTATATGTTTACATAAAATATCATGATGATGACATACTTTTGAGCCATCAATTTCAGTCCAATTAACAGGTGTTTCCAAGACAGGAACATCAATGCTTTGAGCAATGTACAAGAGTTCAACATCAAAAGCCCTAAAAGACAACAAATATATAAATAAGCATGTAAAATAAAGTCAATTGTTTTACACCTACCATCTTTCAATATGCATATTACTGAAGCATATTTCTGCTGTGCGTCTTGTGAATAATTTAAATCCACATTGTGTATCATGGATGTCACGTACAGCAAATAGCCAAACCAAAAAATGGAATCCGTACATCAGAATAGTACGGAAAAGACTTCTTGTTGCAATAGATTCTTGCTGGAGATGAGCTCTTGATCCGATGACTATTCCAAACTGATTGTATAAAAGATTCTCTTTGTCATTGGAATCTGAGGGGAAATAAATATTTTGAGAAAAGGTTACAGGTTTGAAAATGTTGTAAATTATCTAAAAAGTGGTCTCAAAATGTTGGACTATGTTTGAAAATGCAGTAGATTTAATGAAAGGGCTGCTTTCTATCTAAATACTATTATTACCCTTTAGCATATGCAATATTGATTCCAATTTGTCAAAATCAGAAAATTTAGTAGCCCCATCAGCATCTGCAAACAGAATCATCTCTCCTCTTGTACTCTGCACACCCTACAATAATAAATTAACATTGTTTCACAAGTTTCATCACATTTATCAATATAAACCCTTACCAAGCGTACTGCTCCACCTTTACCCCTATTTCTTTCCAACTCCAAAACTCTAAAAACATCTGTACCATATTTATTTGAGTATTCAGTTGCAACTTTAACTGTATTATCTTTGCTACCATCACTGACAACAATTACTTCAAATGTAAATTCAGGATCTGAGTCAGATTTAGATTTTAAATGCGCCAGACACTCATCTAACATGGGGGGCACTGAGATAAAAGATAAATGGTATATTGCAAATATTTGATATATATATATATATATATATATATATATATTGTTTATACTAACACCGATCTTGTTCATTGTATGCAGGAATAACTACACTTAGTTTTACAGTAGGCAGATCAGAAAGTGTAGGAAACGTGTGCTTTTTATTAGATTTTGGATCCAGATAGTATTTTTCATTTTCTGATCTGTTAATAATTGGATAAGGTGTAGTTATGAGCTTTAATACTACACATATCTAAAAATATAAAAGTCATTTAAATAATTTTACAATTTTTATCAGGTTATGTTTTTATTTCTTACCAATATAAATAATATCGCCAAAATTAAACCTAAATATAAAAGTATCGAATCCAAAGCACCAAACATGATTTTATTTGTTCGAGTTTAATATAACATATTTGAAGAAAATATAATAAATGCCACGTACATAATTATTTAGTGCATTTGCATTTTTTTTATTGTGATAAAAATAAAGATTTCCTGATAACCAACATATGTAAATTAATTACTGCTAAATTGTATTTGTAATTATAAATAAGGAATGTTTTTGAGCTTTTGTATATAAAAGTGAAATTAAATAAAAATTCGAGCTGCAATAAAAAGAATGACAGCCGATTGTTAACTTCATACTGACATTTTGCAGGTTATGAATAAGCATAAATAGTTGAATAAAATTATATTTAATAAAAGATTAGAAGATATAAAGTAAAATATAATTTAATAAATATGAATACCAATTTTAAATTAGCTCAGGTGAGTCAATAACATTTTTATTTCGACAATTCAACAAATTTCAACCGATATTTTTGAGGTTAGAAATAAACACTTATTTTGCTAATTGAATAAAATGATATTTTAATAAAATTTTGAATATATTAAGTAAAACTTTATGTATTAAACACGAATACAAATTTTAAATTGGTCAGGTACTTTCTTATAATGAAAACATTCTTGTAAATCTAAATGCATATTGTCTCCTCCTCATTTTCATTATTTTTTATCTAATATTTATTATTTTTATTACAAATAAACATGCAAACTATATTTTTAATTTTAATATTTTCTTTTATTATTTTAGTTGGCTGGAGATGATTCTAGTGGAGAAAAATCTAGGACTTTTGTTTTTCAAGACGAAGGACATACTTTAGGAAATGCTCTTAAAAGCATAATAAGCCGATAGTAAGTTTCATACACTTCTTTTTGTTTTTTGCAGCAGATTTTTTATTCTATGATACATTTTTTTTTAGTCCAGATGCAGAGTTTGTTGGCTACACAGTTCCCCATCCAGCCGAAAACAAAATGCACTTCCGAATTCAAGCCAAACAAGGCCGAGCTGCTGATTTGCTTAGACGTGGCCTGGAGGATCTTGAAAAAGTCTGTGATCATGTACTGGAAACATTTGAAGAGAAAGTACAAATATTTCAAGCAAAGTCACAGGGTTTGTGATGATATTATTTAACAAAACATTTCGTTTATTCAAACTTTATACATATATACAATATAATGAAAGTAAATTATTTTTTTTCAATAACATAATCTTTTGATTTGAATATTTTGGGGTATAATATCCCTAAGAGAAAATACTTAATAAATATTACTCCGGCAATGCATGAAGCCATTATAACAACTTGTTTTTGATTCATGGAAGCATCATTCTTGTCCGTCTTTAGTTGTCATAAAGAATTTGATTGTGTATGTATGGACTTAGATGGCTGGTCTAAATTTGGCTTGTTTGGTTGTATATGAAACTTAATGTGGCCACTTTTGGTTCTTTTTTGTAAGAGGCGTCCAAATTCAGAACAGTGGCCTTCTATTTTTTTACAAATTTGCTCCTAAAACAGAAATAAATTAAAAATGAACAAAGGATAAGTTTAGTCTGTTGAAATGATGCACATACTGCAGCTTCCATTTGTTCAGAGTCTCCGTTTATAGTCATTTGTACTACATATTGTTTTTGGAGCCACTTGACTATATTCTTCAATCTTGAATTAAATCATTGTCGCTTATTTTTGAATTCACAGTTAAGAGTTTTTCTCCCTTATAAATGCTTCACTAAAAGTTACATTTGTTAAAAATTAGACTTGAAAATGCCAATGATTTAAAAATTTACTTACGATTTTGCTGCCTTCTTTTCCGCTCTCCGTTTCAAATCTTCCTCAAAATACTGAGCCCCTGTCATCAATCTACAAAGAAAACAATCACCGATCTTCACAAAGGCTCACAATAAACATTACAGACTAACCTATAAATGGGCCTTTGTGTTTTAGTGTCCATATCTGTAATTTTCACAAGTTTCAAATCCCTTCTTGTGGAAATCTTTTTGGCCTCTTCGAGGGTGGTCACTGAGATACTTTCGTCGGATGAAATTAAGGTTATCCTGGGAATAAAAACTTTTTTCTTCTTGGGCTCGGGAGCCTCTTCAAAAACCTTATCATATTTACTGTACAAAAGCTTGCTGTTTTGAAATATTGTCTTGTTATTGTTCAAAGTCTTGTAAATATTAAACAAAAAGCATCTTTGTACAATATTTTGAACATTCATTTTGAAAGGTACACGTAATTGTCAAAAACACAAATGTAGGACAGATAAGATGACAATAAGTCATGGGTAAATAATGTACTTTATTTACTTAAAATTTTGATTGTGGATAATTAATAGTAAATATTGTTATGCCATAATATTTATATTAAATTATATTAATCGAAAATGAACTATAAATAAAAACACTATATGTTTCAGACGTAAATCGATAGATGGCAGTTCAATAGCACAATTTCAAATTGACAGTTGATAAATAAATAATTTGAAATAAGTTTTATTTAATAAATAATAATTAAACTGGCAAAATAAGAATATATATGTAAATATAGTGCATTTACTTAAATATTTTATTTGTTTTTCCATATATTATTTATTTGTTAATATTTGCATCTCTTTATTTTTTATTAGTTCAATTTTTTGTTGACATTTTATTGTTAAAATTTTGACTTTTCAATTAGCATTCTTTATTTTGTTTCATAATTTTGTAAAACGTGTTTCGATCAATTTTATTTAGCGCATGCGTATTTATTTCGGAGGTGCTCAACCTTTCCTAAAATTATTAATTATGAATATATTTAACTTTTCGAAGAAAAGGTTTGTGTTCGCTACAAAATCCCATTTGCTAATTTTATTTACTGTATTATGATTGTATTATTAATTTTTTCATAGATAAAAGAAGAGTATTTTTTAATACATAAACAACATGAAGTTTGTGAAACTTGCCTGAAGGCAAAATGCCACATGGTTTATATTACATCAGAATATGTTTTAATTTTTTGTTAGAATTCATTTTTATATTTATTATTTGATCAAAAACAACATACTTTTAAATTAGTTTTAGTTAAATTTGTTCATCAAGTTTCAAATATGTTTGAGATATTAATATTAGTTTGGCAACCCCAGCTTTACTATAAATCGTACTTCACGTCGTAGAATGAACCCTTCGAATTCGAATCTCATATATTTCCATCCCTTGTTTTCAAATGTCAAAAAGGGGACGCGATGTGCAATCAGAATACTATGAGAATCTTATAAATGTTGGTTTTATTTACAATTTGTTGTATTTATCATTTCTAAAAAACTAAGTGATTTATTTACGTATAAAAGTTTTTTATACAATGTAAACAATTTGTGTGTTGTGTTGTGTATGTTTTAGGTTATACCAACATGGACAGCCGCTTTATTGATAAAAACTTTTATTGATAAAATGGCAAAGTGCTGTGCAATATTAAAAAATAAATAAGTGTTTTAAATTTATTTGAATAATATTTGTTAACAATGAGGTGACACCTGTAGAACTATGTGACTGAATAGTTTGTTAAGTGTATAGTATAAATTATTGACAAATAATAAAATGGAGTGTTAAATAAAACGCATTTTTAATACAAGTACCACTAAAGTGTTCATTGACTAATAATTACAATAGAATTTAATTATATTTGTGTCCATATATAAACAAATTTTATTACTAATTTTTATAAATAATTTCTTGGAGGTTGCCTAACTTGTAGTGTGATATCGCCGCGCCTAACGGCATCTGTCAAAATTTGAAATATTTTCACAAAACGATTGAAATACATAATAAATTTTAAAATAGTGCCCATAAAACAATAAAAGCACGAACTAAATATCTAATAAACTAATAAATAATCCATTTATCATGTTAAATTTATCGACAAGTCCAAGCAGGACTGCTTTGGGGAGTGCTAGGGCTTCTGCAAGTCGAGAGGGGCTCATCAGTACTGTGGAAGGCTCTTTGGGGTCTTTGGCAAGATCACAGGTAAATGAGAATGAAATATTTTTAATATCTAATTATTGTCATTAATTATTAATTTTATTTTTAGGAATGTTTAGACAATAATACATTTTACGACTCTGATAGAGTTTCATTTAATTCGGATATTGATGAGGCAGAATTTAGAAGGGCTTTGTTGAAAGATGTAAGTTAATAAAATTATTTTTAATATATATATATATATATATATATATATATACAATATCAAATAAATTTTAATAAACTATTATTATGTACGTTTCGACACTGTATGTGTGTCATCATTCACCAAGTTAACAAATTCTAAAAAATATTGTTTACAATTTTAATTTAAAAAAATATTATTTATTATTACAAATTTTGATATAATAAATATATATACATAGAACACCAGAAAAAAATATTTTTTTTAAAAAAGAATGCATAATTTTGAAATTACATGAAACATAAAAATTATATTTTAACTATTTGTTATGAACGTTTTGACACTGTATGTGTGTCATCATTCAGCACGTTAATAAGTTTAAAAAAATGTTTTAAACAAATTTATAAAAGTTAAAAAATTACTAAATATTATTACAAATTTTGATATAATAAAATAAGATATGTAAATTATAATTTAACTATTTGTTATGAATATAAATTTGTTATGAATCATTTAGCAAATTAAGTTAAAAAAAAATTGAATGAATATAAAAGTTGATAAATTACAAAATATTATTACAAATTATATGATAATACATTGAAAAATTGGTAAATAAATAGATAATTTGGTTTATAAAAATGATGTAGGCAAAATTTTGAAATGAATAATAATTTCATGTAGTTTGTCACATGATGTATGAAAACATCTATTTATTAATTTTTAGATTTAAATTGAATTATTAGTGTTTTTCAATTTAGTAATCATGTAGACTATCTATTTAATTTTATATAATTTTTCAAAATTTTGCTCTCATGTTTCATTACAAAACACAATTAATTTTTTGTGTTTTTTCCTGGTATAAACTTGCTGACTGATGACACACATACAGTGTCAAAACGTACAAAATAATTAGTTCATATGTTTATTAAATTACGCTTATGCAAATAAACATTAAAAAAATTGTTCAAAAGTCGATCGAAAAACTCTAAAATATCTATAAGCACTATATTTCTTCAATATCCTTTATATATAATTAATCTTTTTTATTTTTTTTCAGAAATGGCGACAACTCTTTGACATGGTGAGTGCCAAAATTTATTTCTTTAAATAATTTTTAGAATAAACCCCATATAAGTATTATGAATCCTATTTTTCTTAGTTGAACTAGTCCTCAAGTCATTATCAAGCCAATTTTTTCTTATCCTTGGTTAAACTTAAATCTGGTGTCGCCCAAGAATTATATTAATGTATTTTTTTTTCTTTTTTTTAGTTTGATACAGAAGGTTTCGGAGAGATTCCTGTTCAGGAGTTTAGAAGGGCGATTTCCACTCAGGAATTTAAAAGTAATGTTTGTTCTGGAAAACGTGAAATTTTGAAACATCGTCTTTTGGACAAATGCGAACAGACGACTGGCTTCGTCACTTTTCAGGATTTTGTCAATGTGGTAAGTGGATAATTGATTAATTTATTATTATTACTAAAATATATTGCTATTGCATAACGATTTAGTTTGTATATAGTATTTATAAGTCGTTAAAGGTGTGTGTGTATGGAAGTGTGCGTAAAGTTTAGTGCGTGTCCATATGCATAACGCTGGATTCTTACCAGATTCCAACTGGAAGAAAAACGTCAGGGATTCTTAAACACGTTATAAGACATTGCTCGGACACCACACACGCGCCACGCATCCATTGCAAACAATTTTCATAAAAAAACTAGTGGTGTGTGGCATCGTGCCTTAAGGCAAATTGCAGGAACTTTCCGTACCGTAATGAAATATTCGAGAAATATTAAACGTTTTCAAATATATTATTACAAATACTGTAACTTTCATTATTTTCGCTATCTTGTTATATCTGAGCAAATCAAATGTAAATCATAAATTAATTTATCTCCGGAACATTAACAATCGTCATTTCATTTCGAATTCAAATTCAAAAAATAGTTGCCTAATTTACTCAAAATTGTCACCGCATAGTCACAGTCTAAACGCATTTGCAAATAATTCTGTGCGACATTTCCACTTATACTGTGCTTAGCATAGCGGCATTTTCACATTTTTCAATAAATTTTCACAAATTTGGAAAAGTCTAAACGCACTTGGGTAAACATTTGTACCGGAGTGGCGCTTAGACTGTGCTTAGCCTGGGTAATTTTTTGAATTTCTAATCCAAAACTACAAAAATATTTTATGGAAAATAAAAAAAAGATGCAATAATTTTTTATCCTCAAAAGCAATTGTTTCGTCAATACAAGCAGAAAGTTTTTTAGTTCATTCAAATCGGAGGCTTAGTTCACTCAAAAACTACCATTTTTTGCACATTTAGCTCTGCCTCTCCGAAATAGTCGGATCTGTCTTTGCCAAAAACTAATCACCACTTCTCCCAATCATTACAAATCGAATGTTTTTTGGATCATTCAAATTCGATACTCCGTTCTCTCAAAAACTCGATTTGTATTTTCTGCACTCTTTGCACCGTATCTCCGTAACGTTTGGACCTGCCTTTGCCAAAAACTAATCAGCACATCTTCCTATCAATAGGAATCGAATATTTTTTAAACCATTCAAATCGGTTGATCCGTGCGCCCGAAAACGTGGACGAAAAAATGCCGACATACAAAACACACACACACATCCATTTTTTCTGAGGTATGCCAAAATGTTCAGAAGCCTTCAAAACGTCGAGAAATGCAAAAATTTCATTTTCGATTTTCGGCCCATTACTATAACTAACGGGAAGTTAAAAATAGAAAATAAGTATTATTAACTTCCCGTAGGGTAAGTTATATTGTAATCGCAAAAAAATCAAAAATGAAAATTTATATATCTTTACGTTTCAGAGGTTTCTGAATATTTTGGCATACCTTAGAAAAAATGGATGTATGTGTGTGTGTGTGTGTGTGTGTGTGTGTGTGTATGTATGTATGTTTGTATGTATGTATGTAGTATGTATGTATGTACGTGTGTGTATGTATGTGCGGATACAAATTTCGTCGACGATTTCGGGAACACGGATCAACCGATTTGAATAATTCAAAAAAACATTCGATTCGTATTGATAAGGAGACGTGCTGATTAGTTTTGGCGAAGCAGGTCTAGCCGTTCCGAAGATACGGGCAAAAGTGCCGAAAACGGTAACTCAGTTTTTAAGAGAACGGACCGTTCGATTTGAATAATTCAAAAACATTTCACTTGTATTACAAGATGAAGAATCGATAAAATTTTCATGATGGTAGGTCTAGCGGTTTTGGAGATATGGAGGAAAAAGTAAAAAAATGAGCCATTTGGCGGTCAAAAATGATCATTAGACATAGGCACATCAAAATTATCAGATATTTTATAGTGATTTTAACAATAAGTATACATTTTGTTAACATTCCTATGGGTTCCGTACCAATGCTTATGCGTTAGACAGCGACGCGGCGCTTACGCGTTTATATTTTGTCCCTATGCAGTTAAAGCAGTACGATGCTTTGAAAAAAAGTTCAGATCTTCCACATATGTCAAAATAAAGGAAAAACTTTTTTTTTTCAAAAAAAAAAAAAAAATTAAAAAAAGTAATTTTTTGTCCAATTTATAGTTTCTCAAAAATCTTATTTTTTCAAAGTAAATTTTTTTCAAAAATGTTAATCGTTTTTACAAAAATAATAATTTTTGGTACGGGAAGTTCCAGCAATTGCCTTAAGGCACGATGCCTTAATTGCCTTAAGACAGAATTCCACTTACAGCTAGTTCAAACATATATTTATAATATAGTTTATCAGACAAACGCGCATCTAAAACTAAAAAACCGAGTTGTGTTTCAATTTTCCTTTTCAAAAGTCTTTCATACATTTTGGGTCTCAGTGTGCCGTCTCCTCGCACAAATTATTGTAAATTTTACTACCTATGAGTCAAATACATGTACAATAGTCATATTTTCAAAATAATTTTTTTATATTCGTCCTACATGGTTCTGGAGCCCTGCCAAAGCAGACCGGAGCCCCCCAGAGTACAGGTGTGCACGACTCACACGTGTGCGTGTCTAGTGCTCCGCTAGAAATCACTTCGATAATCGATATTTTAAATAGTTAAATGAGCCAGGATTTAATTTGTTTAGAAGATGGATTTTGTAAAAAATTCAAAGTTTTTGTAAAAAAAATTGTAACGTTGTGATACAAAGTACAATTTGGGTGGTTCCCGAAAGAGTTAGTTAACATTATAGGCCTACGAAATGTTCAGAAATGCCTATTTACGTGTGTAGTAAGATAGATAGAGGTGTGTGTTACAATGTATGTACGTTGGTTAATTACAGCCAAGTTATAATTTAGCTGCAGGTTTTTTAGTTGCCAACCAGTTAGCGCGTTCCTTCTCAAATGACTTTGTTATAGACATACGACGACGTAGGCATTTCTACTATACAGATGTAATCGGTGCGATTTTATTAGAAACGTTTCAGGAATTCATTATTGATATAAAACTAATAAAACTATACTCGTATAGTAATTATAAAAGAAGAAGTCTATTGGGGTAAGGTGACAATCTTGCATTTCTGCCTTGCGTCCCCGAATTTTCATGAATTAACCGCGTTTGTCGCGAATTTAAGCTTTTTGTCCCAATTTTTGAAAAAGGTTTAATGAATTACAACGACCCATAAAATATCTTGAAATAGGTATTCAATACGCTGCCGAATGAGAAAATTATCAAAATTAGTCTTGAGCCAGTTCTTCTGACCAAAACATTTCTTCTCGTTCAGGAAGTTATAATATGAGTTCTAGAAGAAAATTCAACCTCATATGTTTCTTTAGTTACCTTCTCTATCACTATTTTATTACTACTAAATTTTTAACTTCCCGTAGGGTAAGTTATTGTAATGGGCCGAAAATCGGAATTGAAAATTTTTACATTTCTCGACGTTTTGAAGGTTTTGAACATTTTGGCATACCTCAAGAAAATAGAAATCGAGTTTTGAGAGAACGGAGCATCCGATTTGAATGATCTAAAAAACATTCCATTAGTAATGATTGGGAGAAAGGGTTTTATTTTTCGCAAAGGCAGGCCCAGCCATTTCGGAGATACAGAGCTAAATGTACAAAAAATGGCAGTTTTTGAGAGAACTAAGCGTCCGATTCAATTGATTCAAAGAACTTTCTGCTTGCCTTAACAAAATAATTAATTTTGGAAAAAAAAAAAATTTGTACCATTTTTTTTTTTTTTTTTTTTTTTTTAATTTTTTGTATATCGAAAATAATTCAGATTTTATTTTTAATTTCTGACTATAGTTCTAATATACTTTAACCAAATAATTTCAAACTCTGCAATTCAGTTTATATAATTATTATAAATATTAGACAATAATACAATATTTATAATAATCTATTTGAAAACATTCAATATTCCTCGAACGTTTCGTTACGGTACGGGAAGTTCCAGCAATTTGCCTTAAGGCACGATGCCACCCACCCCACTAGTTAATATTGGTTTAGGATTTTTTGCGAAAACGTTCATGACTTATAACTACCGATGTCTATTTTTTCTCATACGCACATACTTTTCGGAGTCAAACGATTAAGAATGACTTAAAACATCGCACAATTATGAAATCAGATTTTCTGTCAAATACATAAACTTCTTCTTCCGCCTAGCTCTAGAAAATCTTTTTCCAATACAAGAAGGGGTCCAATAACCACGTAATCGATTTTTAAAGTTTATAGTACTTCGAGGTATTTTTAAAATAGTAATATTTTAGTGTTTTTTTAAATTCAAGTAATTTAGTGGCATCGTGCCTTAAGGCAAATTGCTGGAACTTCCCATACCGTAACGAAATGTTCGAGGAATATTGAATGTTTTCAAATAGATTATTATAAATATTGTAACATTGTCTAATATTTATAAGAATTATATAACTGAATTGCAAAGTTGAAATTATTTGTTTAAAGTATATTAGAACTATAGCCAGAATTAAAAATAAATCTGAATTATTTTCGATATACAAAAAATTAAAAAAAAAAAAAAGTCGAAACAATTTTTTTTTTCCAAATCAATTATTTTATTAAGACAAGCAGAAAGTTCTTTGAATCAATTAAATCGGACGCTTAGTTCTCTCAAAAACTACCATTTTTTGTACATTTAGTTCCGTATCTTCGAAATGGCTGGGCCTGCCTTTGCTAAAAACTTATAACCACTTCTCCCAATCATTACTAATTGAATATTTTTTAGTTCATTCAAATCGGATGCTCCGTTCTATCAAAAACTCAATTTTTATTGTTTGCGCTCCTTGCTCCGTATCTCCGTAACGGCTGGACCTGCCTTTGCCAAAAACTAATCAGCACATCTCCTTATCAATAGGTATCAAGTGTTTTTTGAACCATTCAAATCGGTTGATCCGTACGCCCGAAAACGTGGACGAAAAATTGTATCCATACATACACACATCCATTTTTTCTGAAGTATGCCAAAATGTT